TGGCTGCGATCCAGCCCGAACCACACAGGTTGGGGGGTGTCCCGAGTGCCCATCCAAGGCAGAATGGGGGCGGGGCGGCGCAGATGGCCCAGATGGCCCGCGTCGGGTTTCGGACGGTTGGGAGCTGCGCTGGGCATCAAGTAACAGCCGCCCAGCTGGCCGCGCTGCCGGCGCGGCTGATGAATTGGGGGGAGAAACTTCTTTAGGGGCGGAACAGGGGACTGCGAGGGACTAAAGTACTGGTGCTGCTATGAATGCCCCCTACTCCAGACTAACCTGTACCTCCGTCCTCTACACCCCACGTACAAGTACTTTATCATTCTCTGGAAGACGCTGCGGGCTTTAGGGAGCTGAATCCCTCAAGAGGCATGGGATGCCAACCACCCCCAGCCCCCAGCCCTGAGCAGGACCTACTTCCCGATGCAGGCCCGCAACCCTGCCTCCCGCCCTGGTGGCGGGTACCGACTTGCCTGGCTCTGCGTGCTGCAGCCTGCCGGACTGCCACCAGGTCGGCCGATGGGAGCCACACGAGCTTCGTGTGCCAGCGCCCCATGCCGGCCCTGTGCCCACTAGAGGCCTTGCTGCCTAGGCGCTGCAGCCTGCCGGACTGCCACCAGGTCGGCCGATGGGAGCCACACGAGCTTCGTGTGCCAGCGCCCCATGCCGGCCCTGTGCCCACTAGAGGCCTTGCTGCCTAGGCCTGCAGGCCTATCCAGCCCTCCTGGGCCTTCTGTTTTGGAATTGGCCTGGCCAGGCAGGAAGGGGTGACAAGCACTGCCCCTCCGACTTCTGCCCTCTGTTCCTCTGCAGCTGTGTGGCCGGGACACAGGTTCACCCCAGATGCCTGGCCCTCTTCCGCCACCCACCAAACCCGGCTCAGGTGTGCGGCTCAGGCACCGGCTCAGGGCCTCAGATGCCTTGGAAGAGGACTCAGTCTGTGGTGTGGAGGAAGAGGAGGAAGAAGCTGTGGTGACAGGAAACAGGGGTATAGTCTTGGGGACCCCTAAGGAGCATGCCCTGGACTGGGACTCTGGCTTCTCAGAGGTGTCAGGCAGCACATGGAGAGAGGAAGAGCTACCCGTACTCCAGCACCCAGCACCCCCCACACGGCCCTCCCGCAGACAGCGTCTCTCGGCCAGTGGCATCTCCCTGCCCAGTGGGGCTCCTGTGGCCCGTGCACCACCTGCCCACCGACCACGGCCCAAGTCCACCCCAGATGCCTGCCTGGAGCACTGGCAGGGGCTTGAAGCTGAGGACTGGACAGCAGCCCTGCTGAGCAGAGGTCGCAGTCGCCAGCCCCTAGTTCTGGGGGACAACTGCTTTGCTGACTTGGTGCACAACTGGATGGAGCTACCTGAGGCAGCGGGTGAGGGGGATGACAGGGGTGGATCCCGTGCCCGTGCCCGGCCCCCCCAGTTCCTGCTTGGCCTCTCTGAGCAGCTGCGGCGCCAGCTGGCCAGGGCACGCCGGGCAGCCATGGCAGGAAAGCGATTGTCATGCCCACCTCGTCCGGAACCTGAACTGCCTGCAGATGTCTCACACTTTGCAGCCCTCATGAGTTGCCGCAGTCGCCAGCCCATCATCTGCAATGATGTTGTCAGCTACCTCTGACCCTGCCCTCCAGCCTGGGACAATAAAAGCCTTTCTCTGGACTGTCCTGGTTCCATACCCCTGAGGCTCCAGGAGGCAGCCTCAGCCCTGCAAGGCACAAATCAGGCAGGGGAATTTATAGACCCTTTTTCCTCCCTGCAGGGGTCCCTGTCATACCCATGTCACACCCCGTGTGCCTGTCTCGTGTTCCATCATCCATCCTGCCCTTCCTTCAACAAGCATTTATTGAGTACCTCCTGAGGGATTGGGATACAGAGCTTGACAGAGCTGGGTGGTGAGGCTGCTGCCTTGTCACAGCTTATAGTGCACGGGTGGGAAGGTAGTGTCCTCCTCATCACCCTCACAGCTGAGCTCCAGTACCAGCACCCGCTGTCCAGGCTCAGGTGCCTGGCCGGTCACCTGCCGCATTACTTCCGTCACCCTGGTGGCATGGTGGGGAGAGGATTGGGGGAGATTGGGGAGGTGGGCAGTGGCAGGCAGAGAGTGTCCTGGCATGGACTACAAGGTGCTGGTGGGCCATAAGGAGTCCAAGCCAGGAGCAAGAATGGCCCAAGACAGGAAACATCTGAAACTATTTTAGGAGCGGCTGGCGGGGCGGGCAGGAGGCAGGAAGCTGCGAGTCCCCTGGGAGTGGGCTGGGAAAGGGGAGCTGAGCAGGGTGTGGAGGAGCTGGTGGGGCTGGCTGAGCAGGCAGCTCCTAGAGGCCCCTCCTCAGGCTCTTGGCCCTCCGCCCACCCCCAGCCCATTTGCTGGCTCCATTTGGCAAAAGAAAACTTCAGGAAGGTGTGAGGGGCCCAGATGAGGTTGGAAAGAGGGAAGGCTACTTTTTCCCCACCTCCAACTTCCAGGGACAGAATGAGACCTGGCTAGAGCCAGGTGTGGGCTCACCTGAGGGGCAGGTGCCGGGCCTGCTTTTCAAGCGACCATCCTGCAGAGTAGAGCACAGCCGGGCCACGCAGCAGCATCGTCACCCTCACCTCCAGCAGTTCCTAGACAGAGAGAGGTCAGGTGCCAGCTGGGCCAGGCTGGGCCAGGCCTGGGGACAGAGCAGGAATGGGGCACACCTGGAGATGGGCCAGCAACGACTCCAGGGTCCTCTCCGGCTCCCCAGCAGGCACTTCCAGGCGTTTCCAACAGGTCCACTCCAGGTGTTGGAACTGGGGGGTGGTAGTGGGGAGGAGTGAGAAGCTTCTTACACACACCCCTCCCCCTCCCCCTGTCCCTAGCAGCTTATGGCCCCTTCCTAGGGGAGGAGCTGGACTAGAGGCAGGAAGCAGAAGCCAGGGGGTGGGGGTGGAAGGTGGGATCTGGGCCCAGAGTCTCAACACTCTCCCCACCCATGCTGAGGCCAGCACAGGAAATGGGGATATGGGGCCTCCGCACAGGGAAACAGGCGATCCATCACACAGGCTGTGCATGTGTGTGTGTGTGTGTGTGTGTGTGTGTGTGTGTGTCGGAGGGACATGCTTCCTGAGGAAGCGGGAACAGGGCCACTGCAGTCTCTGATAAAGCTGCTTGTTCCTCAAATGCAAGGCTGGAAGCTGGGGTGGGGGGTAGGCGGTACATTCTGTCCTCTAATCCTTTACTACCAGGGCCTTGGACTACTCATGGGCACACAGGCAAGGGGCACAGTGACCCAAGCAGGGACACAGCCCACAGAGGCCTCCTCTTTCTGTCCCCTTTTTCCTTATTTCAAGAGTCTTGAGGTTCTGGGACCCAGAGCTGAGGGCATAAGGTGGCAGACAGCCAGGGGCCAAGACAGAGGGGCTCTGCCAACTCCCCAGAAAACAGTGGGGTCAAGCTGAGACGAGGCCAGAGGTGAGATGGGGGATCCTTCCCCTCCCTCTCCCCCTCCTCCATGGACAAAGGCAGCTTGTGTTCTAGCCAGAGGCTGGGCCCCTCACAAAGGGGCTCTGTGTGCTGTGCCCTGAAGGACCCCAGAGCTGCTCAGCAAGAGCCCGGCACTGGCCCATGACCTCTTGCCTCTCTCCTGGTGAGGAAATTCTCTCTACACCCTTCCTTGTGCCCCAAGGAAATGCCAACTATTGCAGAGCCTGGGCACACAGCCAGGGGCACTCATAGCCCTGCACTTGAAGGAACACACATGCACACAAGCCCAGGAACACCCACATGTGTACTCACATGCACACCCATGCAAGCCCACATAGTGAAAAAGCCCTGTAGTCCCACCTGGCACACAGATGTGCAAGCATGCTCCCTCCATGCCCACACACCACAGGGCCAGGGATGCCCAGACCCCAGTGAACTCACACATGTGACATGAGCATGCACATCCCCACAGGGCTGCACACCCCACACAGGGCCCCATGGTGGAGAGCTCAGTGTCTTTTAACTCAGCTTGAGGGGAAGGGCCAGGCCAGAGGAGGTTGGATGCCATGCCATGCAGGCAATGTTGATGTTCAGCTCTGTTTGGGGCTAGGGCCATAGTCCCCCTTCCCCCTCAGGGGCACTCGTGGGAAGGAGGGGGATGTGGGGGATGTCTGGCTCCACTAATGAGTTAAAGCTGCAGCTCCCCCAGACCCGGAGGGTTGGAGGGTGGGGGTGGCTGACGGCTGCTTCCTGTGTCTGACAGGTCCCAGCCTGGCTTTGCAGCAGGGAGGGGGCTGGAGGGAGTCTTGAGGACTCCCCCAGAGTCTGGGTCCTGGTGACAGCCTGAAGCCCGAGTAGGGTGAGTACAGGGAAAACTCAGGCCTGGTGTGGGGGGAGTGTTGTCAAGGGCTCACCTTTTGGATGGCTGGGGCAAAAGGTACCCAGCGGCTAAAGTAGTTTTCAGCCAGGTGCAGATAGTTGTGGCGAAAGGCACTGAGGGGCCGTGGCCCGCCCACCACCTTATATAGCTCCAGGCCCACCAGGCCAGCCACAGCCGCTGTAGTGGTGACAACGGCTGGGATAATCCGGCCCACAATTCGCTTGCTCTGCCAAAGACAGAAGATTTGGTCTGGGCCCGAGGTGTAAGGCTAGGGTTTGACCCCACCTCCAGGCCTGAGCCCCAAGGGGCAAGTTACCTTAGTGCGGCTGGCCGGTAGGATCCCATAGTTCTGAGCTCGCAGGCTAGCTGCTGCTGTCACAAAATCCACATGGAAGTTGTTGTCATTGTCCTGTGAGGGCCAAGGCATGGTAGTGTTAACATTGCCCCAGTGCCCCTCACCTTGGCCAACTCTGTGCCACTGCACAGGTCTTCACACAATTCTGTGGGCTAGATGCTCACATCTACCCACTTAACAGATAAGGAGGCTGAGACTCAGGGGAGGTGAGGTGCTCCTGGGGTCCTGCTGGGCGTAGAACTCAGACCAAGGGTCTCAGACCAAGAGATTTAGCTCTTAACCTTCCCCAACAACCTCTCTAGCCTGTCTCTTCAGCCTCACTTGGGCTCCCACCTTCTCAAACATCAAGGGTTCCAGGGGAGGGCCTGTACTCCAGATTTCCAGGGCTTCGTGAAGTTTCTTCAAGTGCTCAGGGCCTGTCGGGGGAAAGGTGTGTTGGGACAATCCTTAGACCCCAAGTCCTGCACTCTTCCAGGAGCCCAGTGCCTATCCCTGGTCCCTGCCAAGCCTAGCACTTCCCACTTACAGCGAGACCCCTTGATTGATGCTGAAATCTCCCTAGGAGCCCCAGCCCACACCTGTGTGTGCATGTATGTGCATGCACACACATGTATGTAGTTCTGTCCTTATCTAGCAACCACAGCTAGTTGCTCCCCAAGGCCCAGTGGTTTGTGTTTTTTATTATTTTCGTTTGTTTGTTTGTTTATTTGGTGAGTCGGCCAAGGGAGCAAGGTGGGGTGGGGTAGGCAGAAAAGAGACGGCCTTCTGAGGGGCCAAGGCTAGACAGAAGCAAGGTCAGAGGGCCTGAAAGGTAGTAAGTTGGCTGCCTTCCCCTGACCCCATCTTCTTTCTGGAGCACAGGCTGAGGACAGGGTCAGGCCTTTGGGTGGCAGGATGGGGGCTAGGGCCAGGGCCAGGGCCAGGGATCTCACCCAGCTTAGCAGAAGCCCAAGTCAGCTCCAGGTCACTAGCAAAGATGGGGGCCAAGTCCTGGAGGTCAGGAAGTGGCAACAACTTCAGCAGTCCTCTGAGCTCAATCTGGTCCCGAGAGCCAGGCAGCCTATGCATCTGGGCGTACAGATTGGCAGCTGCCAACACATAGAGGAGGTGCATGTCCTGCAGTGAGACCAAGAGCAGGGGCAGATGCATGGGTTTGAGTGAGCTTGGATGGGCACGTGGGGTGGGGGTCACTGCCCATTTGTGGATCTGTTTGAGCACCTGCATCTGCCTCACATGTGAACACCCCCATGTGCACAGATAGGGCTCTCTCCCTCTCAGCATCTCCCTCTCCTGCAAAATACAGAGGTGCTCACCTCCATTCTAGGGACCACATTCCCCTCTCAGGGCTCCCAAAAGACTCCACTCACTTGGCTGGCGTCAAACTCCAAGGGCTGGGGACACTGTCTGGGACTTGACCAGAAGGGTGTTCCATCCTCAAGCACCTAGGGAAATGGAGGCTGCTGGACTCTGTCTGGCCACCCTGAGCACTCATCCTCCTGACTCCTAGTACCCACTTTATCAGGTGGGAAGAGCCTCAGCAGCTGTATGATGCCATAATGGAAGCACAGTTGCCAGTGGCCAAGGGCCCACAGCACGCAGTCTCGCCAGGTCTGTGGACGCTCTCTCAGGACACCCAGCACCACCTGCAGCAGGGTCAGTACCTGTGGCCCATCCATGTCAGCCAGAGAAATGAGTGCCCTGCGGACAGAGGAGCAAGTCTGAGGCTAAGCCTCTTGGTTGACAGGGGCCCTGAATTCTTACTCACTCTTGTGGGTGGCCTTCCTGTTGGTAGCGTTTGATGGTCTCAGCAGACAGATGGAAAAGTCCCTCAAACTCATCCCGGGCCCACTAAGGGGAAGGGAGGAACCAGGAGGTGCCAGTTAGGGAACAGTTCTGCAGCTGAGAATGGAGCCAGGTTGGGTAGGAGTCCCTGAGGGTGCTTCCCACCTGCAAGGTATGCTTGGCTGTGCTGGGGAAGTACCGCACAGTGCAAACAGGGTAGGAGGCATCCTCAGAATCTGCATCCGAGGCAGGGCCTCTGTAGACATCAGTCACACCCGGCATGAACACAGAAGCACTGCCCCGGGTGCCATTTGTGCCCGCTTCCAGTAGTGGCTTCAGATAGTGAGTGCAGCGAGCAGCCACATAGTGTCCTGGCAAAGGGGCAGAGGGTCAGAAGTGGGGTGGGCACAGTCTCAGACAAGGGGTTGAATTCCCAGGTCAAGCACTCACGAGCCTGGAAACTGTCCAGGGCGGCAGCCACGCCGTCCACATTGGAGAAGAAGTTGTCCCCATAGATGTGCTCTGTAGTGGGATCCAGTGGGTAGGTGAGCGGGGTCACCTTCAAGTTTGGGTTCAGGTGATGAGCAGCCTCAGCAGCCACCTCTGCCTTTGGCCTCTGAGAAGAAAGTGTGAAGACTTGGGTGTGGGGTATGTATTACAGGAGGACATTTCAGGACACAGATGTGGGGAGGGGTGGACACTCACACCAATGTCCTGGGGCCTGAAGAGGAACTGCCGGCTGAGGTTGGAGCGCTCCACGTGGTCCATGTCGGCAACAGTCACGCCCCCACTGCCCCCGGCCCCTAGGCCCACTAGGGCAAAGCCTTTGAGTAGCTCACAGCCAATAGCACCAGCACCCACCTGCCAACAGGAACAATCTTAGCCAGGGCCTGGCCTGGCCCCACCCTGCTCACTCCCCACCTCACCACAAGGCTCACCAGGAGGTAGTGCTGGTGGCTCAGTTTCTCCTGAAAACCAGCCCCAAACACGGCAATTTGCCCGTCATAGCGGCAGTCTCTCTAGGGGACACAGATAGCGGTCAGTGATGGCCACTGGCTTCTGCTGCATCTCCCTCTTATACCAAGTTTTCCAGGCCAGGATCTTGGGACCAGTCTTCCAGTTTCCCCATTGTCCTGAGTTTGGATAAGGCTTGCACCCCTACCCCAGGTTCTCACCGGTGCATAGTCTTCAGGGTTGAGAAAGGGCTCCTCATCTTCTGGAAGGCAATCGAGGGCATCAAAGTACAGCCACTGGTCCAAGGGCATGAACTTCTTGGAGACCGCCTAGAAGTCAGCACTTTAGTCTGCGGACTCCTTCCACCTCCTAATGCCCTCAGATCTTGACTGAGGGCTGCACCCAGGTTGGCGAATCCCCCAGGGCTGCTCTCTGGTGTTAAGCACCCAACCCAGCCCCGCCCTGCCTCTTCCTGTGCCCACCTTCAGCACTTCCTGGGCAGCCACCGCACCGAGCATGGTTGCAATGGGGCTCAAGCTACCAGCACTGCTCAGGGCAACTGTCCGCACTAGAGCCTCATCCAGCTGCTCTTCCGATGACTCTCCCTCTGTCCCCTTCAGTGGTTCTAGGGCCTGGGCCAGTCCCACCACCATCTCTGCATCAACCTATGGGGTAGAACTCCATGGGTATAGGATCCCCCTGAAGCTCCAATACTTCAGGCAGCCATCCACCCTGTTCCACAGAAGAGGAAGCAGAAGCCTAGGTGGGATGGAAGCCCAGCTGCCAGACTGGGAAGCCCCACCAGAGGATACCCAGTGCCAGACAACAACCCTGGAGGCTTCTTCAACCTTGGGGCAGCTTCCAGACCAGATATGAGAGGTTAGGAGTAGCATGGGTCCCCAGGCTTTTTGCTTGGCCTTTTCACTGACCCAGCCTCTGGTCTGGAGATAGTGTTTATCATCTCCTTTAGATGAGTGGGAAACTGCCTCTGGATTCAGACTTGGATCTGTGAGATAGTCATTGCCTCCTGGAAGGTGAGACCCCATTAAGACACGGGCTGGGAAAGGGGCATTGGGGCCACTCACAGGATCCCACTGCCGAGGAGGGCGGCCATGGAGCTGCTGGAATGCGTGCAGTGCACGGAAGGCCCGATGCAGGCAGTGGGCACGGTGCACTTCCTGGGGACTCTGGGCCACCACACGGGGCTGGAGTAGGGCTGCATCCAGGGGCTCCTGAAGGGGGCACTCAGCTCAGGGTCAGGTCCAGAACCCCGTGGGCCCCCCCTAGGCACCCAAACCCCTCACCTCAGATGCACTTGAACTCACGTGTTTCACAGTCCTGGGTCTCTTGACCTCAGTGACAGCCCCACCACGGGAGTAACGAGAGAAAGTTGCTGTGTTCCCAATCTCCAAGGTCCCATCCTCTGGAGGAGATCCAGCCTAGTCAGTGTGACCCCTGAACTCCAGGAGTTCCCCACACCCCATCCTGTCTTACATCTATGTCTTTGACATTGTTCCACCCTGAGGAAGGTGGAAGGAGAACCTCTCCCCATGGACCAGGCTGTGTCCACCCCAACGGGGGCCTGGAGTGGGGATGACTCACCCCGCACGTGGAGAGGCCGAGGAGCACAGCCATTGAGCTCCACCATGCCCTCAATGCCTGAGAAAGTCACCAAATCCCCATCGTGGAAGTGGTGGGCATCAGCCTCTTCTCTCAGAGTGAGAATGCCAGGGGATCCCTGGATAAGAGGTGGCTTGCTCAGGGCTACCTGTATCTGCCTTCCACAGGCTCCAGCAGCCCCTCCTTAGTCAGTAGGTGAGTGCCCACACCTTAGCACCCACCTGGGAGATGTGCTGGATGGTAGCTCTCAGGGGTTCTGCCTCTGTAGGGTCCTCGACAGTGAAGTCCTCACCAAAGTCACAGAATAACTGCCTGTGGTGGGGTAGTAGGGGTCACTGAGATGGCTCAGTGGTTAACCACCACGGTTATGATGAAGGGTGGGGGACACTAGGGCAAGCCCAGAGGAACTGGGAAAAGAATTAGGAAAAGAATGCTGGGAGAGGCTTGGAAGCTGGAGTCGGAAGGATTTACTGGAGCAAGTCTGCAGGCTGGGTAGAGGAGGCAGACGAGTGGGACTGGGCACCAGAATTGAGAGGGGATGCTGGGACAGGCCTGGGATTGGGTGGAGGGGCTCTGGAGCTAGCCTGGAGCTGGGGACAGCACTGGGACCAGTTGCTGTATGGATGTGGCAGGCGAGGCAAGCCGTCTCACTCACCCCACGAGGCCTCGAGTGTCCGCCACTAGAAAGCAGACTCCGTGCTTGTGGCAGAAGGTGCCCACCTTCAACTGCTCCTCCAGCTTCGATGCAGTCAGCACCACCACCTGGGCGGACCTCAAGATCAGCAGGGCCAGAACCACTTTGGGCCCACCCTACTGTTACAGCCTGGAGGTGGCTACAGGGCTAGCCTGGAGAGTAGGGCTGGGAGGGCACCTGGAAGTCCAGCAGCAGGTCCTCAGTGATGTCACCTGTGTGGATGCACACCTGAACAGCTCCACTGAGCTTAGCCAGAAGTTCTTGAGATGCCTCAGCCCTACTCCTTCCCAAGTCCTGTTCTGAGAGGAAAAACTAAAGACAGACCCAGTCTGGCTTAAGCAAGGAATTTTCTCTTGAGCCCTACCCTCAACCTGGTCTGGAAACCCACAGTCTCCCAAGGAACCTCACCTGGGTAGCCAGGTCAGACCAGCAGGTAGGGTGAGGATCATGAAGAGTGAGGATACCCACACCCATCAGGACCAGGTTTTTGGCTATCTCAGCCCCCAGGCCCTGAAGACCTGACAGCAGGACCTTGGCTCCCTGAATCCTCTGCATGGCCGGCAAGCCCAGCACATACCTGTAGGTAGAGGTAAGAGGGCAGGTAATTGGAGACCAGAAGTCAGAAGTCCACCCCGCTCTCCTCCCCACCTCAGGCCTCACAGTTGCCGAGAGTAGAGCTCTTCATCCAGCAACTTGGAAGTCTCCAGGACATTCATCCTGAGGCCTGGGGCTGGACGACAGGCTGCAGCAATTATAGATAGGATCTCTGTATGGGAGGCAGTGCAGCAGGAGTCAGTGCCCAGCCTTGGTAATGTAAACAGGCACTAAGGCCAAGGAGTAAAGGACGCTGCTGGTCACAGCTTTCTGTTTCCTCTGTCAGTTTGGGGAAAAATGAAAGTAAAAGTGAAACTAGACTGAGCTGGTTCTTGGTCCCGCCTCCAGCCTGTCCTGTACAGACAGCCTGGCAAAAATGAGTTCTGGCAGCCCTAGGGCACTGGCAAGGTGGGACAGAGTTCCTGGTTCTGTTCTGCCCGTGTGAGAGCAGGTATTTCTCTTGAGGAAGGGGGCAGAGCCGTGGGAGGGATCCCTGTAGTCTCCTGTAGCTCCCTAGACATCCCAAACCTCGGCCCCCGATCGCCCTCGGGAGCTCCTGCCTGAATGGGCTTCTCACCCACAGAGTGCTGGTGGGAACTCCCTTGTCCTGGTGACTTGCTTGGCTGCCTGCCCACACTCAGAGACTTAGAGACCCTAGAAGACAGAGCCAGTCCCATCCCAGAGGCTGTGAGAACTTATGGGGTTAAGTTGTCCCACTTCCAGGACCTAAACTACAGACCTGGGGTGGAGCCTAACACCTTTGGGAGTGCTTGCCTAACCCTGAGCCATCTCCTCAGGAACTCCCAGGGAGTCCCCTCTGCTCACAGCTGCAAGATCAGGACAGCTGACAGCCCTAGGTGCCAATCAGAGTCTCTCACCGATGAGTCCCAGGATTCCAAGAGGGTGGTCAGTATCTGGGTGCCAGATCTGAGAGTGTGAGGCATGGGGCAGCCATGATCACATGTGACCTTATTTTAAATTTAAACTTTTCTTTTGAAATATAGACTCGAAGTTCAAAAATAGTACAGAGAGGTCCTGTGTACCCTTCGCCTACAGATGTTTCCTTCTGCTTTCTTGGGAACTTGGTGCCAGCTCCCCACAAAACTCCACAATAGCCAAACCAGGTGCTATCCTAAATTCTTTTTTAAAAAATTGAAACAAAATTCATACATTAATAACCATTTTAAGTGTACAATTCAGTGGCGTTTACTGTACTCACAATATTGTGCAACCATCATCTCTCTCCAGCTTCAAAACTTCTTCATCACCCACTGAAGAACACCATGACCACATTAAATAATCACTACTCATTCCCAACCCCATCCCCCTGACAAACACTTAGATACAGTTCTGTCTCTAGGGATTTGCCTATTCTGGATATTTCATATAAAAGGAATTATACAAAATATGACCTTTGGTATCTGTTTTTTATTTTCACTTAATTTTTTTGAGGTTCACTCAAATTGTAGTATGTATCAGTACATCATTCCTTTTTATGGCTGAATAATATTCCATTACACGCATATATCACAGTTTGTCCAGTCATCTGTTGATGAACATTTGGGTTGTTCTTACCTTTTGGATATTATGAATATGATCATCCCAGAACAAGTATTTGAGTACCTGTTTTCAGTTCTTTAGGGTATATACCTAGAAGTAGAATTGTTGAGTCATATGGCAATTCTATGTTTAATTTTTTGAAGGACTAACAAACTGTTTTCCACCAGCAAAGTACGGAAGTTCCTATTTCTCCACACCATGGCCAAGCTGTTTGTTTGTTTGTTTTTTTCCAAATTATATCCATTCTAGTGGGTGTGAAATGATAGGTTATTGTGGGGTTTTTTTTCCATTCAATAAATATTTTTTGGATGTGTCACATGTACTAAGTACAGAAACCAGGGCCAGATTCTGAAGTAAGTGGTATCTTTCATAGACACCAAAAGATATATGATGAAATTCAACATCCATTCCTAATTTTTTTTAAGCTTTCATTAAAATAGAGATGTATTTTTTAAAATTGTGGTTTTAACCATTTTAAAATGTACAATTCAGTGGCATTAAGTACATTCACAATGTTATGTACCCATCACCACTATTTAATTCCAGAACTTTTTCTTTACCGCAGAGAGAAACTCTGTACCCATTAAAGAGTAACTCTCTAATCTTTGATCCCGTTTCCTGGGAGATTCTATTATAGTTTCTGCTGCTATGACTTTTCCTATTCTAGATACCTAATATAGGTGGAATCACAAAATATTTGTCCCTTGGTATCTGTTTCTTTTTCACTTAGTATACCTTTACAACATTCATCATACGTTGTAGCGTGTATCAGAATTTTGGTTCTTTTTTATATAGTGTTAAAATATACATTAGATGAAATTTACCATTTGAACATTAAAAAATGTACAGTTCAGTAGCATTAAAGATATTCACATTGTTGTGCAACCATCACCACCACTCATCTCCAGAACTTCGTCTCTTCAAACTGAAACTCTCAACCCATTAAACAATAACATCCTGTTTTCTCCTTACCCACCCTTCGTAACAACCAAACTTTCTGTCTCTATGAATTTGACTACTCTAGGTATCTCATATAAGTGAAATCACACACTATTTGTCCTTTTGTGCCTGGATTATTTTACTTACCTTAATGTCTTCAATCTATGTTGCAGTATATTTCTGAAATTTTTTAAAGGCTGAATAATACTCCATTGTATGTATAGACCACATTTTGTTTATACATGCATCTGTTGATGGACACTTGGGTTCCTTCCACCTTTTGACTATTGCGAATAATGCTGATATGAACATCGGTGTATAAATATCTGTTAGAGTCACTGATTTCAATTCTTTTACATACGTATCTAGGAGTGGAATTGCTGGACCATATGATATTTTTATGTTAAGCTTTTTGAGAAACCACCAAAATGTTTTCCACAGTGGCTGCACCATTTTACATTCCCACCAAAAATACACAGGGTTCCAATTTTTTCACATCCTTGCCACATTTCTTGTTTTACATCTTTTCGATAACTGCCATCCTAGTGGGTATGAAGTGGTATCTCATTGTAATTTCTATTTGCATTTCTCTAATGACTAATGATGTTGAACATTTTTCATGTGCTCATTGGCCAGTTGAACAGTTTCTCTGGAGAAATGTCTATCAAAGTTCTTTAACTAGTTTTGAATTGTGTTGTTTTCTTGTTTTGAGTTGTAGGGATTCTTTATATATTCTAGATATTAAACCCTTATTAGATATATGATTTGCAAATAGTTTCTTCCATCCTGTGGGCTGTCTTTTCACTCTTTTGATAGTCCTTTTGATCCAGAAAAAATTTTAATTTTGATCAAATCCGATTTGCCCATTTTTTCTTGTTATCTGTGCTTTTATTTTCATATCCAAGAAATCATTTTCAAATCCAAGGTCATGAAGAGGTTCTCCTGTCTTCTTTTAAGAGTTTTATAGTTTTAGCTTATAAGTTTAGGTCTTTGATCCACTGAGTTAGTTTTTATATATGGCATAAGGTAAGGGTCTGACTTCATTCTTTTGCTTATAGTTATTCAGTTGAAAAGACTCTTTCCCCATTGAACTGTTTTGTCATATTTGTCAAAAATCAACTGACTATATAGATGAGGATTTATTTCTTTTTAGAGACTTTGTCTCTATGATTTTGACTACTCTAAGTCCCTCAAGTAAGTTGAATCATACAGTATTTGTCTTTTTGTGACTGGCTTATTTCACTTAGTATAATGTCTTCAAGTTTCATCAATGTTTTAGCATACTGCAGAATTTCCTTCCTTTTTAAGATCAAGTAATATTCCATGGTATGTATTACTACATTTTGCTTATCCATTTCATACAAATAAAAAAATTTATTTATTTATTCATTCAGGCTGTGTAATATCCCATGGTACCATACTTGGTTTGTTTCCATGTTTTAGCTATTGTGAATAACAGTGCTATGAACTATGAATAGTGCTATGAATAGTAGTGTGGACATTGATGTACAAATACCTCTTTGAGATCCTGCTTCCAATTCTTCTGGGCATATACCCAGAGTGGAATTGCTGGGGCATATGGTAATTTTTTATATTTTGAGGAAATACCGTACCATACTCTTTTCCACAGTGGCTGCACTATTTTACATTCCCACCAACAGTGCACAAGAGTTTCAATTTTTCTGAATCCTCGCTGACATTTGTTTTGTTTTGTTTTGATAGTAGTCAACCTAATGGGTATGAGGTGGTATCTCATTGTAGTTTTGATTTGCATTTCCCTAATGATTAGTGATACTGAGCATCTTTTTATGTGCTTATTGTCCATTTTAAGTCTTCTTGGGAGAAATGTCTATTCAAATCCCTTGTCTATTTTGGATTGGGTTATTTGGTTTTTTGTTGATGAGTTTTATATCCTGGATATTACCCCTTATCAGATATATGATTTGCAAATATTTTCTCCCGTTCTGTGGGTTGTCTTTTCACGATGTGGATACTATGTTTTTGGTGTTGGTTCTTTTTCAAATATTTGGTAGAATCACCAGTGAAGCGATCTGATCCTGGGCTTTTCTTTCTTGGGAGTTTTTTGAATATTGATTCCGTCCCCTTACTAGTTATACACCTATTTAGATTTTGTATTTCTTCTTGAGTCAGTTTTATTAATTTATGGGTTTCTAGAAATTTGTCTATTATCCAATTTGATGGTGTAAAATTGCTCATAATATTCTTATAATCCTTTTTATTTCTGTAAAATTGGTAGAAATGTTCCCACTTTCATTTCTGATTTTGATAATTTGAGTCTTCTTTTTTTCTTAGTCAATTTATCTAAAAGTTAGTCAATTTTGTTGATATTTTCAAAGAATCAGCTTTTTTTTTTTTAAATTGAAGTACAGCCAATTACAATCTATCAATTTCTGGTCTATAGCACAATGTCCCAGTCATGAATATACATATATATAAAGAATCAGCTTTTGATTTTGTTGACTTTCTGTATTTTTTGTTTACGATTCTGACACCAATTTTAATGGGTGTATTTATTACACACCACCAAGCAATTCTCCAATACCAGCTGGGTGTCCTACAATTCAGCTGAATTCTGACACTATCTACCTGGAGATAGCATCAGATCCCATAGGTTAAGGGATCAGTCCTATAAGACTGCCCTCCTCCCCACCATTTCAGATGCCAATTGCAAGTCCAGGTTGTCACCTGTGCTTCTGGCTGTCTATAGACTGGGGTTTCCCACAACCTTCTCTTTGGGTTTATTTCATTTGCTAGAACAGCTTACAGAACTCAGGAAAATATTTCACTTACTAGATTACTGGTTTATTATAAAAGGATATAACTTAGGAACAACCAGATAGAAGAGATGCATAGGGCAAGGTATGTAAGAAGGGGCACGGAGCTTGCATGTTGTCTCTGGACATGCCAGTTTCCCTGAATCTCCATGTGTTCACCAACCTGGAAGCTCTCTGAACCCCATCCTCTTGGGTTCTTCTAGAAGGCTTCACTACATAGGCACAGTTGATTAAATAATTGGCCATTGATGATTGAACTCAATCTCCAGTCTCTCTGTTCTCCCAGGATGGAAGGAGACTTTCAGTGGGACTGAAAATCCCAATCCTCTAATCACAGGTTGACTCCACAGTCAACCAGCCCCCATCCTTAGATGCTTTCCAAGTCATCTCATTAACATAACAAAAGACAAGGGTTTTAGGAGCTCTGTGCCAGAATGAAGGCCAAATATATATTTCTTAATATAAATCACAATATGACATTTTTCTATCTCTATTTTATTTATATTTATTCTTATCTTTCTTATAGCCTTCCTTCTGCTAGCTTTTGCTTTAGTTTGCTTTTTTTTTTTTCCAGTTCCTTAAGGTATACAGTGGGGTTATTGATTTTAGAGCTTTCTTCTTTTTTAACATAGGTGTTTATAGCTATAAATTTTCATCAGTACACTTTTGCTGTATCCCATAAGTTTTAATATATGGTGTTTCATTTTCAATCATCTCAAGGTATTTTCTAATGTCCCTTGTGATTTCTTCTTTGACCCATTGATTGTTTAAGGGAGTGCTATTTGAGTCATGAGAAGATGGCAAAATAGAAAGCTCCAGGAATCTGCTCCTCCAAAACTAGCTGAAACCGTCTGAAGCAACTATTTTGGGAATTTGGAGTATGGTACAACACTTTCAGCATCCAGGGGAGAGCTTGATGAAGAGGCTGGTAAATTTCAGTCTCACTGAATTTTTACTTTTCTCATAAACCACTACTGCTCCCAATCCCATGTCAGAGCCATATGAATAGTTTCTATATGTTCCCTCACACCTCACACACATAGTTTTCCCTAATGAGGGACATATCATGGTTGCTCCTAATTTTTTAGCAATTATGAATAAAGTTATAGACATCCATGTGCAGATCTTTGTGTGGACGCAAGTTTTAAACTCATTTGGGTTAATATATAGGAGCACAATTACTCAGCCATGATAAAACTATGTTCAGCTTTGTAAGAAACTGACATAGTGTACAATTTCACAATCCTACCAGCAATGAATCAGAGTTGCTGTTGTTGCACATCCTTGCTAGCATTTGGTGTTGCTAAGTGTTTTGGATTTTAGCCATTCTAATAGGTATATAGTACTAACGTCATTGTTATTTTAATTTGCAATTCTCTGATGACAAATGGGGATGAAAGTCTTTTCAGATGCTTATTTGCCATCTCTATATCTTCTTTAGGGAGGTGTGTGTTCAGACCTTCTGTCCATTTTTTAAATTTGGTGGTTTTCTTATTAAGTTGCAAGAATTTTTTGTATAGTTTGGATACCAGCCCTTTATCAAATGTTTTTGCAAAGATTTTCTCCCAATCTGTGGCTTGTCTTTTCATTCTCTTAAAGTCTTTCAAGAGCAGAAGTTTTAAATTTTAATGAACTCCAAATTATATATTTTTCTTTCATGGAGCATGCTTTCAACATTGTCTCATCACCAAACACAAGGTCACCTAGATTTTCTCCTATGTTATCTTCTAGGAATTTTACAGTTTCGTATTTCACATTTTGCTCCGTGATCCATTTTGAGTTAATTACTTTTGTGAAGGCTTAAGAACTGTGCCTAGATTTATTTATTGCTTGTCCAGTTGTTCCAGCACCATCTGTTGAAGACTACCCTTTCTCCATTAAATTGCCTTTGCTCCTTTGTCAAAGATCAGTTGACTATATTTGTGTGGGTCTACTTCTGGGCTCTAATTCTGTTCCATTGATCTGTGTGTCTATTCTTTTGCCAATACCATACTGTCTTATTTTATTATAGTTTTCTAGTAAATCTTGAAGTTTGGTAGTGTCAATCTTCTGACTGTTCTTTCAATATTGTGTTAGTTATTGGTCTTTTGCTTTTCCGTATAAACTTTCAAATCAACAAACTTTTCAATATCAACAAAATAACTTGCTGGGGTTTTTACTGGGACTTTGTTGAATCTACAGATCAAGTTGGGAAGAACTGCCGTCTTGACAATATTGTGTCTTCCTACTATGTATGTGGAATATCTCTCCATTTAGATCTTTGATTTCTTTCATCAGAGTTGTATAGTTTTCCTCACAGAGATCTTGGTACATATTTCATTAGATTTATACTTAAATATTTGTTTTCTTTTTTTTCCTTCTTTTTGGTGCTAATATAAATGGTATTGTATTTTTAATTTTAATTATTTTTGCTGATCTATAAGAAAGCAATTGCCTTTTGTGACTCTGGTGAATCTTTCAGTTATTACACTTTCCAGTTCTACAATCTGTAATATTTTCAGTCAATTTGTTTTCTGTGAAAGGTCCATACTTTATAATTTTTTGCTGTAATTTGTTTGTAATTTTCTGTTGAGAACTGGATATTTTAAGTATTATGTTGTGGTAACTCTGGGAATTAGTTCTCCCACTCCTCAGGGATTGCTAAATTTTGCTTCTTGAGGGCTAAAGCTGCCAATTTGTGACTTTTCCAAACTATTTTTGTCAAGTGTGTGTTCCTTGTGTACGGTCACTTAAGTTTCTGTTCCATTATCTCTGCAGACAGCTAATGACCTGACAAAGACTTTATATAAAAAAAAAAAGTTTAAAAAAATTTTAAAAGTCACTGGGCTCTGCACTCGACCTTTAAATTTTCTGATGGATGCTGCCACCAGGCAAGCCATTGCAGCCCAGAGGGCTGAAACCAAGATAAGCATTTCAGATTACCACCAGACCCACCAAACCACACAACCTCAATTTTTTGGAGGGCAAGGTCCCTACTGTCCACCCTGGCACCAGTCAACTTAGAAACCGGAGCCACTATCCCCATGACTGCTATCCCCATAACCATGATGGGGCTGGGGAATGGGGGATGGTGGCTGGTTCAAGTACAGGTTCTCCCTTCATCCAATACTTTCCTTTTTGTCTGATCAGGTTCCCTGATTCTGTGAAATAGTTGATTACAATTGCTCTTTCCAAGTTCAATATATCTAGGTCTGCCCTAAATTTTTTTTGGTAACCATTATCACTGTGTATTTCCAAAACTTTTAAATCATCCCAAACAAGGGGGAGGGTAAAGCTCAAGTGGTGGGGTGCATACTTAGCACGCACGAGGTCCTGGGTTCAATCCCTAGGACCGCCATTAAAAAATAATTTTTTTTAAATAGAAAGATATTCCTAAATCACCCCAAACAGAAACTCTGTAACCATTAAGCAATAACTTCTCATTTTGCCCTACTCTAGACCCTGATAACCTCTATTCTACTTCTGTATTTATGAATTTGCCCATTCTAGATACCTCCTCTGGGTGGAATCATACAGTACTTTGTGTCTGACTTATTTCACTTAGCTATCCCAAATTCTTTTTTTTAAATTTTTAATCTTTTTAAATTTGGGGTGGGGGGAGGAGATAATTAGGTTTATTTATTTATTATTGTTATTTTTTATTTAACTGACGTACTAGGGATCAAACCCATGACCTTGTGCATGCTAGGTCACTATCTATCACTGAAAAATACCCTTTGCCTGGCTGTCCCAAATTCCGTTTTTTTCCCAAATTCTTAACCCATAATACTGACTCATTAGGTCCCCACAAATGAGAGGTTGGTGCTATTGTCCCCACTATACAGAAAAAGAAGCTGAAACACAGAAAGTCTAGGTAATTTGCCTAAGATCATTCAGCCAGTACGGAGGGTACTTTAGCCAGCCACTGCACCTTTAACTTCATGCTGCACTTCTCCTCACTAACCATTCTTGGCTCAAGGCAGCACCAGAGGGGTCCAACTCCTATCAACAAGAGTGTCACTCCCTCTCCAAGAAGCCCCAAGCTCCTCCAAACATGCGGACAGCAGCTGGGTACTCTCAGCCTGAAATATGCCCTCTCTCCCTGTGCCAGGTCTATGTTGGGCCCTGCAGAAACAGGTGAACTCCCATGTAGTAGTGAGAGAGGGAAGTTAGGGGGCCTCACGCAAGCTAGGAGTCAAAAGGGAAGTCTTCTAGGAGAGTGCTCTTGAAGCTGAGACACAAAAGCTAGCAATCTGGGTGGCAGAGTTGGGAGGTGGAGAAGAGGAGGGGTGTCACTGGTCATTTGTTGTGCTTGCTGTGAGTTCACTGGGTCTAGACCATTTGCTTTCTTGCTTATGGCCCTTGAGCTGTGCCCGGGTTAGAGACTGTGGACAAAGTACTGCAGTAACCTCATTCTTGCTACAGTCTCTCTGTGCCCCATGGGAGGCAATCCCTGAGGGGGGAACTGCTGGGTCTGAGTCTAGGTGAAGGTCTCACTTTAGAAAATCATGCCAGACAGTTCTCCAAAGTGAGTGCAAATTTATACTTCCAGAGCCAGGAATAAAAGATTCTATCTTTTTTATTTTACATAGAAATCTTTCCCCATCCTCTCCCCACCACCATCCCCTATTCCCTGCCCTGCTTGGCCCAGGCCATGCCGAGCAGCAAGTCAGAGGCAGGCAGAAACTTGGGCAGGCTGAAGCTGCCTGAGAAGCCTCAAGCACTTTGGTCCCTAGAGTCAACAAAAGACCCTGGTCTGGAGGACCAGAAGCAGCCCAGCCACCTCTGATCATGGCTATAAATGGGAGTCTGGAACACGGAGCAAGCCCTGCTGGCAGGAACAGTGAGGTGATCACATCCTCTCCCATAGGTAGGCCCAGTGTGATAGGGAGTGGGGCAGGGCGTGTGCAGGAAAAGCAGTTTCTGGGCCTCAACTTCACTCCCATCTTCTTGTTTATCCTTGTCCTCAGGGCTGGTCCTGGAAGAGGGGCTGCGCCCCGCAAACCCTGTGCTGAGCTAGTTACCAGTCCTCAGCCTACAAGTCAGAGACATATATCTGGACACTGATCAGACTCACTGTTCTCACTGCCACAGGAAGGTGTCCAACTTGGCCTGGGAGGGAGAGAGTACTGTCTTGGTGCCCACCCTCTGCTTAGCCCTGGCCTTGGGCTTGGGCTTAATGGGCAATGGGCGGATCAGAGTAGTGTCAGTCTGAAGAAAATGTCAAGGAAGAGGCTTAAAGACAGGATTGGAATGCAGGGCAGGAAAGGTTCAGACTTGGGGGGTGGGCAACCCTGCTACACTGAGCAAGGACTGGCTCTGCATATCTGGCGCTGCAGCCGCTGGCAGGCTGGGATCTGGGGGTACAGGTGAGGGATGGTGTGGGCACCAAAGCTCAGCCCGGCCCAGTGCCACAGAACAAGGATACAGGCTGGATGAATTTTGTCCGGCCTCCAAGCCCATCAAAGCCTGTCCTTACCTAAAGCAGAAGGAAGAGGTGAGTGGGCCAGGGTAATGGGCTAGGGGGCTGGCCACCCAGTCCAACCCCTGAGAAGGTTGGCACTTGCCAAATTGTAGGAAGCCACACTCACTGCATCTGTGCTGCGACAGGGCTCCGCCCTGGCCCTCTTGGGCTGTTTCTGGCCCAGGACAGCATTCCGGATGAAGACAGGAAAGGCACCAGCCAGCTCCTCATCAGGCTCTCCCAGACAGCGCTGGCCACCCAGCGAGAGCTGGGACTCCTGCAGGAGATCCCAGAGCCAAGCTTCATGAACTGGACAGCAGCAAGGAGGGGGGCGGGTAGTGATGGTGGATGGAACAGGATCAGGATCTCTGATGCCTCACCAGGAGGCAGGAAGGACAGTGAGTAGGGTTCCCAGGGTGGCTCCAAAGTGCTTCAGTCCTCAGCCAGGAGAGAAAGGGCTCTGGCAAGACCCTGATCTCTCAGGAGTCTAGCTTTACACTCAGTCCTGGCAAGGGTTGCAGGGTGACTGCCTGAGCTTCTTCTAAGAAGCCTTACCTTCTTAGAGCCTTTGGGGATCTTCTTGAAAACATGATGAACAGGAGAACTGCAAGAGCGAGACATGAAAGCAAGAGGCACGTGAGTGAGACACAAGAGGCAGGTGGACCAGGTCAGCATATGCCCCTTTGGGAGCAACTGTGTGGTATGGTTGCGTGCTGGGCAAGGCACCTCAGTAATCCCCACCCCAAGGGCAGATATGTGAACAGCTGGACAGCCACAGCCACCAGAGTGGTGGAGGCAGGAGAGGTTGGACCACATTCCAAACTTGTGGCTTCCACTCAGAGCCAAGCCAATTCCATTGGAATGTTCACCATTGGAATGGTGTGCTCTCAGGCACCTTACCACGTCCTGGGCTCTGTGTGGGGCTGGAAGCCCAACTGATCCACCACCCACAGGAGGAAAGACAGTCATGCCTTGATAAGAAGTCAGGCCTAGCTCTATCTGCCACCACCTCCACAAGACCCTCAGTAAGTTAGATAGCGCATAAAGTGCTCTCAGAACACAGGGCTAGACATCTCCCTAGATGATCTGTGTAGGTAGGGTTGGGGGCAGAACAGATCATGGCCCCAGGCCCTGGCCTCCCACTCCTAGCTCCAGAGCTGGACACAGTGTTTCCATCCAACTCCTAGGGACCCTAGCAGCTGGATACCCTCTCCTCTTATTTTCCCAGATCTGAGTGGGAGAATGGTGACAGGCTGAGCCTGTGGGTTCTCAAAGTCACAAGGGCAAGGGCAGGGTCAGGGTCTACCGACACTGAACTCCTCTGCTCCTGTCCCTACAGCCTGTGGTCATGCCACATGATGACCAAGGGAGGAAACTCTACTTGCTGAAAGTCTGGTTCTGGGGAGGCTGATCCAAGTTAGGGGCATCCTGGGCTCCCTCACATCCCTCGCAGTCACTGAAGATGGTAGAAATGTCTCTAAAAAACTGGCAGCCTGTGGGCCCCAGGTGCCCACCTTCAACCTTTACAGCTACAGAAGAGGCAACAAGAGGAAGGCAGAGTATCGAGCAGGCACTGATAGGCCCCCTGACTGCAGCCCACATGCCCTAGGTTTCTCATTGCTACCAGGTCTGGCCTTATACCACACAGGTGTCTGCCCCTGAGGTGGGGAGGTGTGGATAGCCACCTGGTTTTCCTCTCCCTGGGCCTCCTCCATCTCCACTGCCTAACATCTCAATTTCTTTCTCTCATGTCTGAAGTCTTGAGCAGTGTATATCTACATGGATGTAAGGGAGAAGCTCTTGTCTCCATGATGAACTATACTTGGCCTGCCTGGCCAAGGGGACAGTCTCTGCATTCACAGTCCCACTGCACCACTTGTGCAGCTCCCACCCACTCCATAGCAGCTCTGTACAGCTTCTCATGCCTGCCCCTGTGGGCTACCTCCTTAAGTGGTAGGGCCCTGGGCTCCTGGGTCTGAGATGGTCCTGCCTCAAGCATGAGTCTGTGGGGCTCACAGTTGAAGAGGAAGTTCAGAGTCCCTGCCTCAGGATTCCAGTGGACAGGCATTCAACATACTGGGAGCACACCCCACCACCCCAACAGCATCAGCCCAGATCTGCCCCTACTGGGACTCCTGTATTCTCTCCAACTCACATCTCAATCTTTGCTTAAAGGGTGATCGTGAATATTAGTGAGACAAGCGACAGAAGGGCTTTGCAGAGAGAACCCAGAGCAGGAAGAAGAGGTGACTGGAACCAAAGCCATGGCCAAGCCAGGTGACCCTCACTGCCCCGTCAGCCACTCAGAGTTATTAGGGCAGAACCTGCAGAGATCCCTTAGCCATTCTCCCCCAGGCTGTGGAAAGGCCAGGGACAACCACTTACTGTGACTTCTCTGGGAAAAGCCTCTTGGCATGGCCATGCTGGGTGCTGGAAGGCTGGGCTGGGGGGGTGTCCACATTAAAGGTGGCGTTGAGGTCAATATCATCACCGAAGGCTGGCCGGCGAAGCTTCAGGTTCAGCATCTCCACAGGAGCTGGACTACAGGCAGAGACAGCCTGGTGACTTAAGACCATAGTGGCAGCCCAGAAGGACAACAGCCCTTCAAACTCAGAGATGGATCAGCTTCGGGGGCCTGGGGTCCACACCTGGTTTTACGCTACCCTGAAAGGAAGCCCTAATCTCTACCGAAAAAAAACACTTGACTTAGTCCTTCACACAGCGAAAGTCTGGTAGATATGGAAGGAAGCAAGCAAAAGCCACACAAACTCAGATGAACAAATAAAAAGCCTTTTGTCCAAACAGACTCATTTCTTAGAATGCAGTGTAAGGATCCAGTGAGAGAGTTGACCACACACTGAAGTAGAGGGATGTCCCTTCCAGCGTCACTCATCATGGCAAATGGCACAATATTAGAAACCGTCAAAACGACTCCCCCAGGGAACTGGCACTTTCATAGCTTGACTATGATATAGACATTAAAGTACTGTTACTAGAGAGTAAACTTAATAATATGGGGAAATGTTCATATGTTAAATTTAAAAAGCAACATTAAACTCTGTATAATAGTCCACAAAAGAAAAGACAGGCAAATTAGACTTCACAAAAATTTAAAATTTTGTGCATGAAAAGATACTATCAACAGAGTAAAAAGGCAGTGCACAGAATGGGAGAATATATTTGCAGGCCGTATCTAATGAGGGATTAAAATCCAGACTATATAGAGAACTTCCAAAGCACAACAAAAAACAAACAATCCAATCAAAAATGGGCAAAGGACTTGAATAGACATTTCTCCCAAGATGATTTACAAACGGCCAATTAATACCAGAAAAGAGGCCCCGAATCACTAATATTAGGGAAATGCAAATCAAACTATAATGAGACACCACCTCACCCTCATTAGGATGGCTACTAACAAAAAAACAGAAAATAACAACTGCTGGAAAGAATGCGGTGGAATCGGAACCCCTATGTGCTGCTGGTGGGAACGTAAAGGGGTACAACCACTGTGGACAACAGAAAGGCTGTTTCTCAAGCAACTAAAAATAGAATTACTAAATGATCTAGCCATTCAACATCTGGGTATATATGCAAAAGCACTGGGAGCACGATCTTAAAGAGAGATTTGTATACCTGTGTTCAGAGTAGCATTATCCATAATAGCCAAAGGTGGAAGCAACCCAAGTGTCCATCCACAAAAGAATGCATGAGCAAAATGTGGTATATACATACAATGGAGTATTATTCAGCTTTAAAAAGGAAGGAAATTCTGCAACATGCTACAACATGCATGAACCTTGAGGACATTATGCTAAGCAAAATAGGCCAGTCACAAAAAGACTATATGATTCTACTTATATGAGGTATTTGGAGTACTCAAGATCATAGTGACAGGGGCTGGGGGAAGGGGGAAAAATGGGGAGTTATTATTTAATGGATATAGAGTTTAAGTTTTTTATAAGACAAAAATTCTGGGGACAGATGGTGGTGATAGTTGTACAACTTTATGAAGGTATTTAATACCACTGAACTGTACACTTAAAAATGTTGGTAAATTTTATATTTTATATATATATTGTACCACAATAAAATTGGAAGAAAAAAAACCTCCACATATAGAGAAAAAAACCCTCTACAAATCACATGATTTGTGCATACATATCGTCTACCTCACCACATACAGAAAGAGGACTTGAAGGAAATTTACTATTGGTCAACGGTGACTACTGCTGGGATAAGTCTACATTTTCAAATTCTCAACAATGAATGTGTTTTTACTTTTTAATAGTGAAGGGGTGTAATTCTATCAGATGACTGCAGCCAGCAAGATTTCTCTAGCTCATCCAGGCCTGGTGGGGTTCCTTAGCTCCTGTGATCAGAGAACTCAGAGGGTGGCAGGGGCAGCCCCAAGAACACTCTCTCTCTTTCCTTCCCTCAGGGCTGCCCACAGCCCTACTCTCACTACTCAGGGACCAAGGGAGGAGCCGTGGGGATATTAGTCTTGGTCAGGAGCCCTCTGGGGTGTGCAGATCAGGGGAAAGGGAAGTGCCTGCACTGACTTGGGTGGGTAAGCAGTCTGGAAGGCCTGGAATACCTCTTCCTTTCCCTCGCCAAATCCCTGGAAATTCTACCCTCTTCGTGCCTCCAAGTGGAAGCAAAGGCTGCTTTGCTTCCCTCTCTGGGAATCACAGTATAAAGCAGCAGCCAGGACCACTCATGCCAATCTTCTGTAATATCTGTTATTCTACTGCTATTTACCAACCCCAGCAAGTCCAGGCCCAGGTCAGTAGAGGCGCACTCAAGAGGCAGGCAGGGTCTGGCTGGGGGAAGCCATTTGCCCTCCAGGTGGCTCTCAGCAGAGTTTCCTGCTGCCATCCCCTCGGACCCTGCCCAGTGGTGCTCATGGCACGTGCCCAGCCTTGACTCAAGCCAAGCCAGCATTTTTCACTCGCACCTCCTGGCCATCCACAACATTAAGCTCAAGACTCAAGAGGTTCTCACAGTGCCTTCCTCACTCCCCCACACCATCTGGCTCGTATGAACACACTTCTTTTTCCCTCAGACAGCTCCTGGTGAATCCCTCTTCTTTCATGAGCTCAAACACTATTTTCCTTCCTACCTTCTGTCTGTCTGATGAGGTGGAAGAGCCTAGGGCCCAGTGCCGCCCCTCACTGGTTGAGGGCCTGGCTTGAGGTCCTCCTGGGTGATACCATCACCTTTGGGATACTCACCCAGGGCTTCATGCCAGAGTCCTCAGGAATTGAGGCAAGACACTCAAAGCCCCCTTTCCAAAACTGAATCAAGGCCCTGGGCAGACCTATCACCTGTGTGACATGGGAGCTAGTCAATGTGTCCTACACAACGTGTCCTAAGCAAAGCTTCCCCAACTCCCTTGAGCTTGAAGCTCAGGGGCTCTTGAGGTTGATAAAAGGAGTCTTCCAAACACCCTCTCTGTAGTACTAGGGGTGATAGCTACCTCCTGAGGTCTCCCAAAAATGACAGGAATGTAGGATAATCCTACTGTAACAAATGGAATGGGCAGCCATCATCAGTATCTGTAGATTTCCAAAACAGTCTGGGAGGGAGCATGGCCAGGGGATAGGAGACTTACCACCAGACCCATCAAGCCAGAACCCACCAGGAGAGGGTTACAAATGCAAGGGAGGACTAGGAAAGATCTAGATCTACAGACACATTAAACAAGCCTGAAAATGGGAGTACTGATGGAATGTGTGAGCTTGGCTCCATCCCTTCCTATTTCTGCATTGGCAGAGCACCAGGTAGCAAGCCTGCTACCTGGGGCCAAGAAAGAGAAGGGCCTTTCCTAAAGACACCGGCAAACCATCCATGGGATTTTAGGGCAGCCAGTATTGGACCTGACAGTAAATCCCTCTGCATCCTAGGTTCAGCAAAGACTCGGTATGATGCCAGCTGACCGCACACTCCCCCAAATCCTGCCCATATAAGTTAGGCTCCCAGGTAGCTTTTCTGTTTCTCCTCCTGAGAGGGCCACAGGTAGCCAAGGTCCCCCAGGCATGGGAGGGAAGTCCAAGAGAAAGGCTGTGATAAATACACACTGACCCTAACAGAAACAAAACTGCCAGACCATAAGACAAAGGACAGTATATTTTGCAGTGGATGCACTCCGAGAGCAAGAAAGAAGGCTTGGAAATTTAAAATGCGATTACTGATTCAGCCTTAAAAAGGAAGGAAATTCTCACATATCTACAGCATGGATGTACCTTGAAGACAGTATGCTAAGTGAAATAAACCAGCCACAAAAGGACAAATATTATTTGATTTCACCTATAGGAAGGTCCTAGAGTAGTCAAATTGATAGAGACATAAAGTAGAATGGTGGCTGCCAGGGGTAGGAGTGGGGCATGGAGTTGGCGTTTAATGGGTAGAGTTTCAGGTGGGGAAGATGAAAAAGTTCTCTAGGTGAACAGCGGTGATGGTTGCACAACAATATGAATATACTTGATGCCACAGAATTATTCACTTAAAAACGGTTAAAACAGTGAATTTTATGTCATATATATTTTACCACAATAAAAACATGATTGATGAAGTAAAATATCATAAAAATTAAATTCTAATTAAAATTTAAGGAAAATCTCCCAAAATATAGAGTACAAAAAACCAAAAATACACAGGACCAAACCAAGTCAGACATCAGATCTGCGGGTGGTCCAGAGCGGCCGGAGACACTGGAGTGCAGCAGACTCTCAAAAGGATAACACAAGAAAGTTCCCGTTTTGGACAGCTAATTTTAAATAAAGACTTGATCAAAGAGAGAGAGAGAAAAAAAAAAGTTCCTAGAGCTGAAGGGGGACTCACATGTTTACCCTGAAAGGACCCAATAAGGGTCCAGCAAGACAAATGGAAAAAACTCTCATCCAGACACGTCAGGGGAAGTAACAGGAGCCCCAGAGCAAAGGAAGCAGCCTAAAACTGTCCCAAGAGAAACAAGAGTTTCACCTACAAAAGAGCTGAGAATCAGATGGGCATCAATTTCTCAGCGGCAACAATGGATTTTAGACAACTAGAAAGCAGGCTCTTTCGGGGTCTAAGGGAAACTAACTTTCATCTGGAATGCAAACTGGCAAACTAAGCCAGAAGCAGCATAGAGGCATTTTGACACAGAGCCCAGTTCCCTTCCTTAGGACCTATTTCAAGGTGAACTTTAGCAAAGCAAGGAAGTATATCAAGAAAGACTGAGACGTAAGATACAAGAGACAGAAGTCCCAGGGTGACTGTCTTGCCATCTCACCTCTCCCCTGGAACCTTGGGTGTTCCCTATGGTGCTATCAACTTGGAAAACTGGAAATGCCTGGGCTATCCACTGAGAAGGGGATGCCTGAGTCAACATTGCCTGTGTGCTTCACACACACTGGGTGGCAGGAGGAATAACATAGATCTCTGGGAACCAACATGGATATATCTCCAAGGCATTCCAGGGAGTCTTATTTTAAAGTTATAGAGTGACAGCAAAGCATCCAGAAAACACCTAAAATCAAATACCCAACTGCCTCCCACAATACTTTGAATGTCTATAGGATCTTCATCTGTAGTGAAGCAGAGGTCTCAGAGGGTGCCCATTAAGCTGGTGACCTGGTACCCCTGGGCTGGAGTGCAGGCTCGAGGAACCATCTCACAGGTAACCAGATGAAAATCAGAGGTGTGCACCAGTCCCACCAGAGCGATCTTTCTCAAGTATCCCGATAGTTTCCATTGTTCTTAGGATAAAAATCTGCACTCCATGGCTGGCCTGTGAAACTCTGCAGATTTGGCTTGTCTGCCGCTGGCCCGACTCCTCCAAGCATATCCAACTCAGTCCTGCCTCAGGGCCTTTGCACTTGCCATTCTCTCTGCCTGGACTGCTCTTCCTTTGGATTTGAATGTTGGTTACAGGAATATGCCTTTACATTGCAATATGTCAGGAATGCCTAAGACTCCTTTCAGACCCACATAGCAACCTGTCAGCTGCCATAGGAAAGGTAGAGACAGGGTTTTTGAGGGGACTTTCAGTTTTGAGGGTCGTCATCAGAGCACAAAGATGGGGCAAAGCTGCTACTGAAGATTCAACAACTATTTTTGAGAGCTTGGGTCCCTAAAAAAGACCCTGAATTTAGAACATATTGTGTCTAGTTCAAAGAAGGGCTAATACAAAAAGCACAGACCTGCCACCCTAATTTTCATGCCCAGAGAAATACTGGAGAAAAAGGAATGACGTCAGCTTGCAAACAGCTTGATGGGAAGCCCAGCTCAGTTTTGTACAGATGTAGGCTTATCAGATGTGGTATTCTGCTGGCTTGAAAGACAGGGGAGACCAGAGAAGTTCCCTCTGTACCAAGGTGGGCTGCAGGCCCTGACCCAAGGCTTACTCAGAATGAAGTGGGCTCAATCCCAACTGGGAGCTATAGACCAAATCCCATGATGTGGTGTGTGGCCAGTGGGCTCAGGGCTTGGTTATTGAACCCCCTAGCTTGTCTATCCTATTGAAACACAAGTTGCAAGAGGACAGGGAGGGCCTGGTATGCAGCAAGCACTCAATAAAGACCTGTTGTAGAAGTCTAGACCTTAGAGAAGCCTCGAGTGGTAAAGAAAGTAAGCAAAAGCAGGTATGCAAAGTCCCTGGGCATCTAGAGGCAGCCTGTGTGCTTGTGGGTCCTTTACTGTGGATGCTGGACACAGAGGACAAGTGCACGGAAACATGGAGGCCCATGGAATGGAAAGTGGAAGGGAGCACCATGAGGAGCTTGCAGATGGCACCCTTGAGTGATATCCTAGAAAAAGGATTTTTACTTTTTGCCTTGAGCAGCTTGGGTTCTAAAGGTTTGTCCACATGAGATGGTCACTGAGACTATTAGCTCCCTGAGGGTGGGTACTATACCTGCCAATCTCCTGGCAGAGCCCTCATGTTACTGAGGCTTCTAAGGTGGCCAAGCCGATGGGCTCTGAGAGTAGAGTTGGCAGGAGGGACCAGCAAAGAGCTTAGTTTGTCAAAATCAACCACAGGCTGAACCTCACAGAGTCCTGTACCCCTCACACTCCCACAGCCCTTCCTCAGTCCAACCTACACTGGGGCAGCCAGACAACTCTAACTCCATAAAGAGACTGGAGGACCCAAAGAAAGACAGGGAAGAGTAAGACTGAGGAATTAGTGGGGTGGGGGGTATAGCTCAGTGGTGGAGTGCGTCTGGCATGCACAAGATTCTGGATTCAACTACCAGTGCCTCCATTAAGGAGAAAAATTAAAATAAATATATGCTAAAAAAAAAGAAAAAATGAGGAATTACAGGTACAAGAATGAAAGGAAACTGGCCTATATGCATTCACTCCCCCTGTGACGTTGACCAAGTACTACATGCAGGGAAAGCACTATGTGTGTAAGGAAGTCAGTGGTGAGGGACGCAGACTAGGATGTGGCTTCCAGTCTACGGGTGGCTGGGCGTGTATGCAGTGGGTGGACCATGCTCCAGCCAGACTCTAGAGCACCTCTGTGGCCCCTGGCTCCTGACACAGCATCTGAATAAGAAGCTACCTATGCAGAGGACAGTGAGCTTATTTCTGCTGAGGAGACTAGGGAAGGCTCGGCAGGGCAGCTAACTCTTCAGTATGGAGAAGAGCACAGGCACAGAAAGGCATAGGAGCAGGAAGGCAAGGAAGGGGTGCTCTGCTGTGTCTGACAGTGTGATGTGGCTAAAGGCTGAAGATCCACCGCAGCCCACAAGGAGGCTCCACAAGTGCCTCAGGTACAGTGCAAAGGGTCCCCAGAAGTGTTCTGGCAAGGGAGCGGCACGATGCCCAGGGCTGAACAGATAGGAGGGGTGGAAGCATGGATCAGCTCAGGGCTGAACAGATAGGAGGGGTGGAAGCATGGATCACAAGCCTCATGTGGAGGCACTAGCAAGGGAAAGGGTCAGGAAGGAACCACCGAAGTTAGGTGGGCAGGCTCTAACAACTGACTGGATGTGGGGAAGAAGGAGCATAATGATTTTCCAACCTTGAAAAATGGCTCAAATGAAAATGGCTGGACCACTGAGCTGTGTGTTTTCTGTCTAGACCATCAGCTGGGCAGCTAAGCAGGAGATTGCCCTGAGGATGCTCTCAGCCTGTTTCTGTGAAACACTCAGGAAAAGGAATGGGTGGCTACACCAGGCAGGGACACCCGTCCCTCAGCCTCTTGGCTCCCTCTGCTGGCAGCTTTAATGCGCACATTACTGGGACCAGAAGCAAGTTATTCTGCTGGTTTCATGTTTGAGAATCTGGGGCAGACAGATGTATTAGGTGAGCCATTCCATAAACAAATGCCCTGGCACAGAGAATGCTCCTGCCCTTTCTCTGACCATTCTTAGTTCCTTTCTGGCCTACCCTGGCCTCCCCTTGTCAGAGTCCAGACTTTACCTCAAAGCTGCTTTCCAGCTAAATCTTGGTTGTCTCCCACTATAAGAGGTCCATAGCCTCCAGGCCCATATGGGCCACCCCCACTCCACAAAGCCAAGATGAGTGAAGACCCTTACCGGGGAGCTCCTCCAGCTTATGGCCCCTGCATACCCCAGATATTCAACAAACCTCTCAAAAACCAGGCGGTTGACAGTCTCACTGTCTACTGGCGGCAGGTTCAGGGTTTCCTGCAGCACCGTTAGCTTTTTTTTCAGGCTCTTGGGGAAGGAAAGAGAAAAGTGTGAAAGAGAGGCTGAGACATCAAGTCCAGAACAACTCCTAAGGACATATAGCAACATATGCACAAGGGGCAAGCCCACTGGTAACAGAACAAGGCCTGAAACCCAAATATCAGGCTCAGGAGGCCAGGACTACTGGATCTCAGAACCCCTCTCTGAGCCCCTCCTCTGGTAACCTCAAGGATGTAGGCATAAGACAAACTGTGAGGAAGACCCAGGCTCCAGACCAAGGGCCAAGGTACATGTCCTGACCCAGGAGGATTCAGGGAGCCCAGAGGCACCAGTGCTGACTAGTGCGAGGTCCCCGGGCAGAGCTACCCCAGACCTGCTCTTAGAGAGCACACAAGTCACCCCTCATTCCCACCTGGCCAGGGATGTCCCTCACCACAATTTCCTTGTCAGCGCTCTGTAAGTCCTTCTGGGCCGACTTTAGCTCCAACTTGGCCTGGTCCAGTTCAGAGCAGACTGTCTGCAACTACACGAGAAGTATAAGGAGTAAAGGACAAACCAAGGGGTGGCCATGTGCCCTGCCCCAACCTGCCGCTACACAAACTCATGGAAGCCTGGAGCCCAGAAGAGTTTGGGCACATGGTGGGAGACCTGAGCTCTATGGGGCTGGACCATAGTCCGGCAATGTCCATCTGGAGCTGCCCAGGAGCAAGGGCTGCTTCCCATACCCTGAAGCTTGTGGATGCACCATGCCCAGAAATAAAAGCAGCTGTGCTGACTGAACCAAGTTCCAAGAGGCCTCCTACTCTGGGCCTGGTACAAAAACAGACTCCTGCAGCTGTCACTTGTGGGACCTGTGTGCTCCAGTCAGCTGAGAGGTACCCAGGGGCCAGGAAGAGCATAAGTGTGCAGGTGGTGGGGGGATACTTGCATGATCTGCCACCCTAAGAGGACAAGCCACGTGGCCAGAGTTGATGCCCAGTAAGGACCAGAAACCAGTCTCTGTGAGTCATCCAACAGCCAGTCACATGAAGCCAGCTGCACCATCAGGCCCCATGACCTTGCTTAGGAGACATGAATGAGCAAGACAAAAGGACAGCCACCTCACCCCTCACCTTCTGCTCCCCACTAAGTTACCTTGTTTCTGGAAGAAAACAAGTCCTTCTTCAGCTTGTCAGTTAGCTCTCCTGAAGCCTTCCTTGCCTCTTTTAGATTCTCATACTCTCTATAAAGGGGCCATGGAAAGAGATATCAGCACCAGATACCTGCTGCTCAGACTGAGCCATAGCACCACCCAAACACAAAGCTAGATCCGACCCTCAGCATTTCTCATTCCTACTCTGACACCTGAGCCCAACAGGGACCAAGTGGTGCTGTGGAGGGTCCTGTACCCAATGCAAAGAAAGTTGATGAGTCTCTGCACCCTGCCTGTCTCGTAGGCACTGGTGATTTAAAAGGGTGTACAGGGTGGAGGAGGATAAAAGCTCAATGGTAGAGCGCATGCTTAGCATGCATGAGGTCCTCAGTGCAATCCCCAGTACCGTTATTAAAAAAGGGAGTGTACAGGAAGCCCCAGCCTCACTAGGAGGCCTTCTACACCACCTGCCCCTACAGGAGGCATCTGGGATCCTCCATGCCTGTCAGGCAAGTGACCCCTCTTCCCCAACTTCACACTCATGGTAATGGAGCATCTGAGCTAAGTTTCTGATATAAACCAGGCAGGGTCAGTAACAGTCCTGATGGGAAACAGGCTCTGGATATCACAATGGGGCTTATAGCTCAGAGAGCTGTGCCAACCTCCTTAGAAGTAACACTTATAATTCACACTTAATTCTTTCAATAATCCTGTGAGGCAAGTTATTATTATCTCTATTCGGGAAGCTGAGGATCAGAGAGGTTAAGAAACTTGCTCCTGGTCACATGGTAAGAGGTGGGGTGAGAGTTCAAACTGAGACAGATTGGCTCTAGAGTCTGCCCCTTAACTCCACCTGCTCTGCTTTACAAGCGATGGGCAACAGATGGAGAGGCATGGCTGGGTTGCCATGACTTAGCTCCTGGATTTGGACAGAGGGACCAGAATACACACTTCTTGAGGGATACGCAGTACACAGCCAGTTGCTCCACTGCTGACTGTCCCACACCCATGTCTCGGATCATCTCCTCCACCTCGGGCCGCTGGCTCTGGAGTAGGAGCTCAATCCTGAAAAACACCCAGCCCACGGCATTTAAAATCTGGAGGCTGATGGGTAGATACCTAGTGCAGCTCTGCCTCCCTTTGCTGCCGTTGCTATGGTGACAGCCTGAGCTGCTAGGATGCGTTAGCAGGCAGGTCTGCCCAAAGAAAAGCCCCACAGCAGAGCTAGGCACAGCTGCAGAGATGCTGCTGGAGAAGAAGGGGTGCTGACAGAGGACCTCAAGGTCAGGGATCCCCAGAGAGAGGTTCATGGAACAGAAGCCCTGTCAGGTTGTCTGGCCACAGGCAACAGGCATAGGGAGGAGTGTGGCAAGAGGCCCCACAGAAAGTAGAGAAGCCCACAGAGGCTGAGCAAGGAGACCTGTGCCCATACCCAGCCGGCCTGCGCTTCCCACGGCCTATGGAGATTTGAGCCACAGAGATAGGCCAACCCCTGCTGCTCCTGAGAGCTGTGCCCCTGCGGGCTGGAAGCACAAAGGTATAGGTGGGCCCCAGCTCCAAGCTCACCGCTCCATAGTCTTCATCTTGCTCCGGAGTCGGCGGGCCTCCTCCCGTGCTTGTTTGGTCTCATCCTGCTGTTGCTCCAAGTACTTCATCTGCTTCTGAAGGGCAGATGAAGGCACCTCTACATACCTGTTGCTTGGAGGCTCCCAGGGGCCAAGGCTAAAGTCACTGCGAGAACCTACCAAGAACTGTCTGCTTTTGAAAGTGCTGATAAGCATGTGTTTCAACACCCCAGAAGTAAGGCTCCTGGGCCCGACTCTGGATTGTGCTTTTTCTTCTAAGAGGCCCCAAGCCAACTGCTTCCTCACCTCTCTGCTTGCTTCCTCCTGAGACAGGTCTTGCCATAGGCATAGCCCACTGCCAGCATCGACAAGCCTGCTGGGGGTTGCCAGGATCATGTGGCCCATGCCTCATGGTACATGCTATGCAGGAAGCTGAAGAAGCCTGAAGCACAAATCCGGGCTGCACTATCCATCTAGGGTCATGGATGGTTGCCAAGATAGGAAAGCTGAGCCTGAGGCAGCTGGCTAGGCTGCCCTCAGCACCTGGCCACTCCATCTCTGACCCGGGAATGCCATCAGACTCCTGCTCTGCAGCCAGGAGCTAGTTCACTCCTTCCCTCCCACCGGCCAGGACACGTGATCCAGCCCAGCCACCAAGCAGGAATAGAAACAATGAGCACCCTGGGGCCCTGTCTGATCACACGGATGGCTCCCTTTCCCTTTCGAATGGCATCCAGCAAGACTGCTCCTTCCTACGAGGCCAGAATATCAATCATGAATTCAGATCAATCACCTCATGCCCCTTGGAGAGCAAGAGGCTCACCAACCCAGGCTGATACAAAATTCATCTGGGTCTAGAGCCGCTTGCTCTGCAGGCTTTGATCTGTCCAGTCAGCTCAGCACAGCCGACTTCAAAGGCCCCCTGCTCCTCCCTGGGATGCTGTTTCATCTGGCTCCAGAGAGCAGCCCAGCCAGACTAGTGTGCTAATGGAAGGTTCTTCAGGCTGGCTTTGTCAGTGGAGTACAAACCACTTTTGGAAACACGGTTCAGTCTCACTGAGGTCTTGGCTGAGCAGCCCCTCCAAGGACTGGGAAGGGCTTGCCTCCCCAGACTACCAAGTACAAAATCCATAAGCGTAGCCAATATGACGCTTTTCTTATGGGCTGGATGGGCACAGTATGGGAGGCCTGGGAAGATGGGATTTGCCTCCATTTTACAACTGAACACACCAAGGTATTAGCCAAGAACCAAATGATACGTCCAGTAGAGTAATGAGCCCAGGACTTCAGACTATACCTCCCCACCAATCTTCGCCCCCAAGACCCGGGGACCCACCTTGAGGGTGGAGCACAGCATCTCGGCCTTGTCTAAGGCCTTCTGCAGGGACTCCACAGTGGCGTTGCGCTCTTCCAGCGTGTCCCGCAGAGTGTCAATGATGACCTGGCTGTCTCGTTTTTCCTTCTCTGGAGCAGGGGTGAAGATGGAGGGAGAGGAGAGGCCCCTTCACCCATCCATATGAGAACCTGGACCCTTGGGCTCCAGCACCCACCCCAGAGCCCATGAGGAACAAGTCTCAGAGCAAAGGGTTGGATGGCCCACTTCTCTTGCTGGCAGGCACCAAACCAGGGAATCCCAGCCAGAGTTTCTTCATTTCCAGGATGAGACCCTCTTTGTGCTGCTTGAAACTACCTGAGTAAAGACTTCACTAATCCCTGTTCCTGTGGCTTTAGTTAATTCCTCATCCCAGAACTCAAGGAGATTCCTGCCAAACTTGGCAGCTGAACCCTCTTTTACAAATACTCTGTCCTATCAGGTAGCCCCCTCCTACCCTGGGTCCTAGGCAAGAAGTCTCAGACAAAGAGAAGAGGCTCATCTGGTCCAGGTGGACAGCTTTAGTCACCTCCCTTTCCTCTCCTTTTCTGCCAATCACAAGAGCTGATAAGACTCTTGGACAGACAAAGCAGGGAGAACCCCTGGCTCTGCCAGGAGGGAGGACTTCCTCCCAGGGTCTCTCCCTCCAGCACCCAAGTCAGGGGCTTCCCAGGGCCCCTTGGGAACTCACCTTTCTGGGAAAGCAGGGCTCTAGTATTATCCAGTTCATTCTGAAAAGCAAGATCCACAATAAGCAGCAAAAAAGCAACAGAGCTGGCTTCCACTCGGCCTCCCATAAGGCTTGTGGGGAGACCCGGGAGGTGACAATGGGGCCTATAGATCCAGAGAAGCATCTCAAGGACCCTGCTGCATCTCAAGGACAAGCTAAGTCAACAATGGAGAGAGAAGCCTTGCTTTATCTCTTTGTGCCTTTTTAAAAAGTAGAAAAGATGAATGGAAATAATCTCAGGTATAAGACCCCAGGGCAGGAAAAGAGGCACAACAGGGCAAAGTAAGTGGATCTGGACCTGTGTGGTCAGTCTCATGGCAGAGGCTTCCATTGGTTCCCTGGGCCTGTGCTGGCCCTCACCCTCTCTGGCATTAGCTGCTCTCACTGGGGACACAGAGCTGGGATGGCCAACCACTCCTTGTCTCCACCCTGGGTTCTGCCTGCTTCATGTTCTAACCATTTCCAAGCTCTAAGCTGGTTCTGTGTACCATGAATCTTCCAGGCCCATTACGGTAGGTGAGCCAGGACAACTCTGCCCCACTGAGTGAAATGTCACATGTGCTAGACTGTGAGGGTTAAATGAACCTCTCAAAGTTCATGCATGTTCCAAATCCACTGCTGCAGAACCACTGAGAGGCTGGAGCAGAACTGAGCTGAGCTCCCATCCAGGAGTTCCACGCACTCAACATCCCTATGGGCAAGAGAGGTGTCTACTCCATAAGCAGGAAAACCAGACTTGGCAGACCCGAAAGGTTTGGCCAAGGGTCCAGGGTGGTAGCTGGATGCAATCCAGACAAATCCTCCTCCAGATCACCCTTCCTAGGTCAACACAAGATACAGAATATCACATGTGACCAATAATAAGGCCCAGCCCCAGTGGGCAGATAAGCCCCTGCTGTCAAACTCTCCACCCAGGACTCTGGGGCAGGAGCTGTTGGTGGCTGAGCTGGTCAGCGTAGGCTGGACATCTGGGGTGGAAGTGGTGGATAGAGAAGGGCATGCATGGGCTGCCTGAGAGTGGCTGTCAGTCCAAAGCTACTGCTAGCTCTCTGGCTCCTTCCACATCTAAGCAGGGTGCCTTCCAAGCTCTTGCTCCAAACTACTTAAGATTTTGCCTCCCTGTCTCCTAGAATTGGCTTTGAAAGCCGGAAAGAAATGAAGCTGCTTTTGTTGCCTTTATCACAGGGAGGACACAGCTTAAAACTGGGAGCAGTTACCATGACGATGAACATGTTGGCTTTAAGCACAAAAGCTCCACATTCTTGAAGCTGTGAGGTTCCAAGGACATCACGGCACCCTGGGGGTGGGGCCAAATGAATCCTGATCTGACAGATGCCCAGCAAATTCCCAGCAAATTAACCCTCAGAGTCCAGGTTCACTTGCAAACCTCAATCCCACTTCCTTGAGAGGTTTCTGCCAATACAACCCCTTTGTGCACAAAGAAAGCTAAATCTTAGACTTGGAGGGGAAGCAGCAGAAGTGTAGGAGGGAATCCACCCATCCTCCCCTGCAGTGTGGGTTTCTATCCTGGCTGCACATCTTGATTCCAGGGGCTCTGCCCTCCATTCTTGGTCTGGAAAGACTCAGGACCCTGGGTATATACCAAGCTCCCCAGGCAGTTTTGAGGCACAGGCAGGTTTGTGAAGTGGGTCTACACATCTTCTCTGGCTGAGGACTGGAAGCGTTTTCTGATCTGTCTCTAACTGTCCAAGCAGCAAAGTGGGCTGAGAAGGATAGCTGTAGATCTGACCTGTGGTCAGAGTTGCTCTGAAATCCCCAGGGAAGTGCTCACAACCAAGTAGCTCCCTTCCTTCCTACAGCCTATTTCTCCAATGACTGTATCACCATCAGTTGCCCTCTGCTCTCATTGCCTCTGCCTTTAAATCTCTACCAAGTCTCCCCTCTAGATCTCCATCTCCATACTCCAGCTACCCTCCCTTGGTAGGAGCAGAAACTGAACTCTCAGAGGGCTTGGGGCTCAGTAGAATGAGATAAATTCTGGATACCTTTAAGAATTCTGCATCTAAGACACTCTCCTCCTCTTGGGCAAGGTCAAAGAAGAGCTTATTGATAATGGTTCTTTTGCCGACCTGGATGGGAGAACAAGATATAGCATGACTGCACAGCTGGGTCATGGGCAAGGAGGACAGGGATACACAAGTAGCCTAACATGCACCTAAGCCTGTTCTCAGGCCTAACCTTTCATAGCACATCCCGTGGAGTCAGACAATCTCTGCAACGCTGTAGATATCCCAAGCTGGTGCCACTAGCTTGGTGGTTACTGAAGTCATGTCACTGCAGACCACCCATGTGGTAACTGCTCAAAAGATACCCCAACTCTAGGTGTTAGGCATTGAGAAAATGGGGAAAGGCAGGGAAGGAAGCCAAATCTACTCGGATGAGGACTGGCCCAGGCAACAAGTCCATCTGTCAGCTACCCCTGGGCATAGGCAGACCTCCCAAGCCAGTCGAAAGCACAAGTAAGGCTCAATCAGCCTCAAACCATGAGGGTCCAAATAGGTCAAAGATACTCCTTAGCTTGAGAGATCTTTCCTCTTTCCTGCTCCCTGGCAAGGAGATGTCGTTAGCTGAGGTTTTTTTCACCCCACCACCCTCACCTGGATTCGGCACTGTGGGCAGGTCCGACTTGGTGCTGTCTCAAACCACTGAATTAGGCTGGAAGAGAAGCAGAAAAACAGACTGGTGAGCCCTGGCTTGGGGGGAGACACAAAGACCAGGTAGCCACCCTCACCATAATGGCATCTGTCCTGTTTCTCCTCCACCCAATGCCTGCCCACAAGGAGGGCAGCGCCACAGGCAGTGATAGTACATCCCACAAGCCTGGCTGGTAGAAACACTCCAACCAGCTGGCCCTTCTTTTGGCCCTGTTGGCTTGGCCTTCCCTACCTCTGAGCTGAAATTCTGTCAACCTTCTAGGCTTTGACTGGGGGGTGGGGGGACAACACTCAAAGCCAGGGTCACTTAGAGATGGGGATTATAATAATATCCTCATTTAAGCTGGGACTCCAAAGGGCTATACTTTCAAAGTAAGGGTAAACTAGAGGTAAAAGCAAGTAGCAGTAAAAGCAAAACACAGCTCAGCTATGCACCATCTATGTGCCTTAAACTTTAATTAGTCTCCCACTAAGAGATTCTCCTACCCCTAGGACCAAGGAGGAACAGTCCTTTCAGGAAGATGATACCATCATCTTAGGTCTCAATTTTTTTTAATAAACAATTTTTCGAATACTATATACAACATATAATCAGAGTTAACCATGAATAATGGAATATCACACAGCAATGAGACAAACGAGTCTACAACTAAGAACAAAATTATGGATGAATTACATAAATATAACATAGAGGAGGAGAAGCCAGATACAAAAAAAGCTATATTGTGCATAACTCCACTTACATAAAGTAAAGTAGGCAAGACTCATCTATGCTGCTGGAAGTCAAAACAGTAGTTATTCTTATGTGTGGGGGAAAGGTGGGCTGAGGGGTGGGTGTAACTGGAAGAGGGCATGAGTGTTACTGACCTGGGTTCCTGAACTCTTTAATCAATAGAAATTGGTAAGAGGCTGGATGAGAAATTCAGGCAAGACCTTATTGGGACTCGAGCTGCAGCACAGGAAGCAAAAACAAGCAACAGGAGCACTTAAATGGGGTGAGGGTAAAGGTGGATGGGTGCACTGGACTGGAGGGGTGGCTTAGGGGGTCTGCCCACTCCTTTGGTGGTACTGGGTGCAGGGATCATGCCTAGTACCTTGATTTTGCTCCCAACATCTCAGAAGTGGCAGTTGAGCCATTTTATATTTTATTGTTCATAATTTGCCCCAACTGCACATGTGTGCAGTTATTTTTAGTCCCTTATAACGTCTTTGTATTCTGTTGCTCCAGGAAGATGTTTATCCAGGTGCAAGTGTAAACACTCTGGTAGTGTCCCAGGTCCCAGTCTCTCACTAAGAGGTTTCTGAAGTGCTAATATCTAGTTTCTTGATCTGAATTCTGGTTGCACGAGTATGTTCAGTTTGTGAAAATTCTGCAAGCCATACACTTATTCTTTGTGTACTATTATGTAATATATCATATTCCAATAAAACGTTTTGGTTTTTTAAAAAAGCAAACAGTTACACAGGGAGAAAAGCACTACAAGTGCAAACCAGAACATATCCACAAAGGATTCAGACATTGGAATGGTCAGACACAGAGCATAATAAACACATTATACTGAATAAATAAAAATTAAGATTGAAAATATCAGTAGAGAATTAGATAATAAAAGGTGACATAACAGAGTTTAGTAAGAACCCAACAGAAATTCTAAAACTGAAAAAAAGGCCAAAATTAAGAATTCAATGGATGAGTTTAATAGCAGTTTAGACACAGGATTGAAGAATTAGTACACTGAAAGATAGGTCAGAGGAAATACTAAGAATTAGAAAGACGGAAAATGTACAAGAGATGATAAGAGATACAGAAGATACTGTGAGAAGGTCTAGCACACATATAATTAGGAGTTACAAAAAGAAAGCGTTAGGTTGAATAACGCCCTCCCCTCCAGAAGTCTATGTCCTAATTTCTAAAACCTGCGAATATGTTACCTTATATGACAAGAGCAATCGTGCAGATGTGATTGAGTTAAGGAGATAGGGGGAGATTATCCAGGTGTGTCCCATGGGTCACAAGGGTCCTCATAAGTGAGGCAGGAGTGTCAGAGTCATACAGAGAGATGAGAAGTTGTAAAACTGCTAACTTTGAAGATGGAGAAAGGGGCCAGGAGCCAAAGAAAGCACAGCCCCACTTCCACCCTGATTTTTACCAAGTAAGACCCATTTTGGACTTCTGACATCCAGAATTATAAAATAATAAATCTGCATTGTTTTAAGCCACTAAGTTAGTAGTAATTTGTTACAGCAGAAATGAGAAACTAGCATAGAAAGAAAAGAGATAGTGGAATAGAGGCAATACATGAAGAGTTAATGGCTGATAATTTTTCAGAACTGATTAAAGAAATTGTTCTGCAAGTTAAACCTAATGAATCCCAAGCAGAATAAATAAACATAATAACAAAAAGAGAATTGAGGTAACTATATTGTTGTCAGACAAAATAGACTTTGAGTCAAAAAAGGTTACAAAAGACAAAGAAGGACTTTACATATTGATAAATTTCCACTCTAACAAGAAGTAACAATTGCAAACATATATGCACCTAACAAAATATATATGAAAGAAAACTGTACAGAACTGAAGGGAGAAACAGCTCTACAATAAAGGATGGAGATGTCAATACCCTACAATTTTAACAATGGATAGAATAATCAGACAGATGATCAATAAGGAAATAGAGGACTTGAACAATACTTTAAACCAACTAGACTTAACAGACATATGCTCCCTCCAACAACAGCAGAACACACATTTTTCTCAAGTGCTTGTGGAACATTGTCTCATATGTTGGGCCATAAAACAAGTCTTAATACACTTTAAAAGACTGGAAATCATACAAAGTATCTTTTCTGACTAAAATGGAATGAAACTAAAAATCAATGAGAAGAAAAATGGAAAATTCACAAATATATAGAAATTAAATTAGTCTTAAACAACCAGTGGATCAAAGAAGAAATCACAAGGGAAATTAGAAAATACCATGAGATGAATGAAAATGAAAACATCATACCAAACAACAAACTGTGGAATACAGCAAAACCAGTACTGAGAGGGAACCTGATAGCTTTAAACACATGCAGTAAAAGAGAAGATACCCATTAGGATGGCTGTTATTAAAAAAAAAAAGAAAATAACAAGTGTTGGCAAGGATGTGGAAAAATTGGAACCCTTGTGCATCGCAGATGGGAATGTAAAATAGTGCAGCTGATGTGGAAAACAGAAAGACAGCTTCTTAAAAATTAAACATAGAATTACCGTATGATCCAGCTATTCCACCTCTGGGTATAACCCAAAAGAAAGGAAAACAGGAACAGATACTTATACACCAATGCTCATAGTAACATTACAGCAGCCAAAACATGGAAACAACCCAAGGTCCATTAACAGATGAAGGGATAAACAAAATATGGTATTTCCATACAATGAACATTACTTAGTCATAAAAAGGCAGAAAATTCTGAAACGTGCTACAGCATGAATAAAAACATTATGCTTAGTGAAATAAGCCAGACCCAGAAGAGCAAATATTGTGCAATTCCACTTACGTGAGTTACCTAGCATAGGAAAATTCAAGGAGAGACAGAAAGTAAAATAGAGGTTTCCAGGGGAGGGAAGAATGGAAAGTTACTGTTTAAAGGGTACAGTGCTGTTTGGAATGATGGAAAAGTTTTGTAAATAGATAGTGGTGATGGTTATACAACATTGTGAATGTACTTAATGCCACTGAACTGTACACTTAAAAACAGCTAAAATGGAAGGCATCTTTGAGCTCACTGAGCAAACACCATCCTGAACTAAAAAACTGTACGAAGATGTTTTCATTGAAATTAAATGGAGGCAGACATGACCAAGGAATATAGTAAGAATTTGATCTCTTTATGTATCCTGTGATAGATGAATGTGTGGAGACAGCAACTAGTGGGCAACAGAACAATACTAAAAGGGTGGTAATATGAGGAAATAATATCATCATGTTAGAAGCCTTGGAAGAAGTATAAAAAATGGCTGTGTTCACCAGAGAAATCAACTGGTTCCACATGTCCCCTTTTCAAAGGGCTTGTTTTACTATGATATAAAAATCAGGTCCTGTACATTTTCATAATGAACTTTTTTGTTAAGTAAAGTTTTGTAAAAGTGAAAAGTTAAAATGGTAAATATTATATATTTTTACTACAATAAAATGATGTATAGTAAAAAGAAAAAAAGAAATGGTTAAAATGGTAAATTTTGTTACGCATATTTCATCACAATTGAAAAAGGAGCTCCGAATCAGCCTGTCCACAGCTGCTAGGGGAACCTTCCCACCAGCTGTACACTCGACAGTATGGTCCTACGGGTCTACAGAAACGCTTGATTAGCGAGGACCTCCTTGCCCTCCAATATTAACTTGAGTCACCTAGGGTCTGTGAATATACTGGGGTGTTTAAACAACGAAATGACTCTGGACAGAATCATTCCAAAACGTCAAGCAAACCACAACAAATCGGGTAGCCATAAGTGTAACAGGTCTCAAAGAAACAAACGGGCTCGCTAATGTGGCAAAAGTTCATCTCCCCCCGGGTTACTGATTTTGAAATCACGTTTCTTTGCAAGTCTATCAAGGAAACCACTACTCTGTCTTCATTAAACCAACCCCGACCCTTGCCGGCCTCAGCTCAGGTATCACCTCCTCCGGGAAGCCTGCCATGACCGGCTTCTGCCCAGGTTGGGAACCTCTCGTGGGGTACCGTCTAAGGACGTCCTCATCACCAGTCTGGGCTCAGCGGACCGGTCGCCCGGACACCCCACAGTCCTGTAGAGGTACCAGAGCGAGTGCCCAGCCCCCAAACAGCGGTCACTCACCACTGCAAGTGGAAGGTATGGCCGCAGTGGATGGCGGCCACGTCACGGGAGTGGTCGAAGAAGTCGGAGCAGATGGTGCATAGCGCACGAATGGGCATGATGACTGATCTCAACAGGAGCAGGTATCCAAGGAAGCCGCGACCGGTCCAGCTTCGTGGCTGCGCCTAGGCGTCTCCGTTTGCTTCAAATTTGGCTCCACTGAGCGACTTCCGGAACGGATCGGAAGTGGCCACACGGAACTTGAAGGCGCCGACTGAAGGTTGGATCCGGATTGGACGAACCCTCAGGGGCGGGGCTTAACGGCCCCGCGGCCCGTGGAGAATCCTGGGGCGGAGCGCAGGCCCGAAACTGTCGGCGATATCTCTCCCGAGGCTCTCGGAAACACGGCCAGTACCGCAAGAGTGCAGCGTTGGCGGAGCACCGGGAGTAGCTACTCCGCCGGCCAGGCCCCTTTCTGGGGTAAGACGGGGCGTTATGGTCCCGAGTCAGAGCTGGTGCGCGGCATACTAGGCACCGGCTCTTCAGCCCTGTTCTCTCAGTGCCGCCTTCTCTGCACTTCGGGAGAGTCGAGAAGACTGGGACCGTAAGGGAATGGGACGATGTTCCCGATGGAGAGTGAGTCCCCTGGGCTTTGGGCAGTGTTCGACCATATGGTGGAAGTCCATAGCTTCCAGGCCAAAAGAATGCTCCACCCTCTCAGACCTCGGCTCTAAGTGGTCCTAGAATGATGGACACAGGTTCTAATCCTCAGGACACCCCAATCTCACCCTGGCGCTGTACAAGCAAGGCTTTATGATCCCTAAGTTTGAGGTGGCAGGGTAAGTATCCTGACTTTAGCTTCTAGCTCTCAGGAAGAACAGTTTTGCCTCAGGACTGCAGTAGGGTTGGAATTTTGGAGGCCCAGATGCTTCACAGACAAGTGACTAACAAACCTTTTTTATTCCCACATCAGAGATGTTACCTTTGTGGGGGTCTTCTCTGACAAAGAGCAGCATCCCTGGAGAGTTCACCTGGGCTGATCAGGGCTGGAATAAGCCTTCCTAGGAGTTTTCGTGCTTAACTAATTTTAACAGTGTTACTCCCCTCTCCTCAGAAGAAACATTAGGTAAAGCCCCATAATATAAGGCTGATCTATTGCACCTGAAGTAGACCCAGCATGAAGTCCTTGGGGCCTATGCAGAAAGCAAAGGTTTTGTTCATAGAAAGGAGGAATCAACACAAAGGGCAGAATAGAATCTTTGTGTGATGCCCATCCTGCACCCACTCGGCAATCCAGGGAAGCCCACTTTGGCCACGGGCAACGTTTCTCCCTATGGCCCTTGGTGGGTTCTAGGTCTATGCCTAAGTCAAGACAAGGGCTCCTTGTTCAATAGGACTTGTCGGAACAGCAGCCCAGAGGTTATTCCTTGGCGTAAGCCCAGCACAGGACCCACCACCCACATGGATTTCTAGAGTCCAGAGGATCACCCCTCCACCATCAAGGAATATACTGTGGTGAGGATGATCTGTTCTCTCAGCCCAAGCAGTCCACATGGCATTGAGCACAGACCACTACCTGTGGACCTACTCCTGGCTTCTCCCCTCCCCACTGCCTTCCAGGGGCCCTTCCCCAGTAATATATAGGAAGCAAAGGCAAGAGGGTGGCCAGAGGCTTTGGCAGAGTGACATTTATTTGCCAGGTTCAGCAGGCACACAGCCCACCAACCTTCATACACCAGAGCAGACCCACAGGCATGCAGGGAGAAGGGCAGGACTACCCCCGAGTGCCAAGCAAGGGCTGGGACCAGTATGGCTGCCCGTCCAGGCTGTAGTGGGGTCTGACAAAGGGCACCTGCCAGGAACCTCCATCATGAAACTGGGGAGCTTTATTCTACTCCCTCATCCCAGCAAAAGCAACTCAGCATGGTTCAGAGGCACCTGGGCCTCTCTCCAAGCCTTGATAGAAGGGGAAGTGGGTCATAGACATAGAGTGTTCCTCTCTATTTTGTTGTTGAATTGGGAGAGCAGAAAATCTGCCCCTGTGAAGGGCAGACCCCTAAATAAGACTGCAGGACACTGCCATGCAGCAGGCCCCCCAGGATGGAGAGAATGGTGGACTGAGCCTGAGGGGGGCCATCTGGGAAGAGCCAGGAGATGTTAACTTTCCTTCTTTGGCCCATGGTAAGGACCCAGCTAGACTGGTATACTAGGTGCTGGGCCTACACTCTGCCCTCCCAGGTCTCACTGCCACATCCTAATTGCTCCTCCTCCCTCTTACAGGCTCATGAAGCTCAGGGCACAGGGCAACCCACTACAGGACCCAGGAGGGCAGGAAATAGCACTAGGGTCTTGGGAGAGACTTCCCAGAGACAAAAATGGAAGCTTCTACCCTCTAACTCTCTTTCATTTCTGAAGACCCCCACGGCTACCAAGCAGTGCCCCCAGTCATGCGACTAGTCTTGTCTAAAAGCCTACTGCCCTAGATGATTGCATTCTCTGTACCAGCCTGTTTCCACTCCTAGAGCAGCACACATACCACAGGCACATACCTTCATGTGCAAGAGCCTAAGACCGCTGACAGGGCCTCGCTGGAGGACCAGCTCTCAGGGCAAGGCCACCCAAGTTTAGGGCCTGGGAGAGGATGAGACCTGCAGGGCCGGCCTGGGGGAATTGTGAGGCAAAAAGGGAAGAGGGAGGGGAGCAGGGACCTCCTGAGTATCCCTAGAGCAGCATCCCACAAGGAACAGAAACTGATAAAGCTAGCAAAAGACAGAAAAGCCACAAGGAATCCATGCAGGGGCTGGGGCTGGTCCTGCTTCTGGCCTGCCCACCACTCAATGCGCATACCCACAGGAGATGAGACTGCTCTCCTGTGGCCCCCAGACATGCCCCATGCTAGGAGGCAGGGGCGGGGGGAGTGAGGGCATCATGCCAGTGACTCTATGTACAGTGAGAAGCCCCTCATCCACTCTCCCACCCTCTTGCCCATCCCCCGCCCCCCCACCAGCCTGCCCACTCAGCTGGTCTCCTCCCTCCGAGACTCCTGGGCAGAGCCAGCAGCCTCTTCCCCTTTACTAGAGGGTGGAGCCTGGCCTGTTGCGCCCCCTGGGGCTGTGCTGTCCGGCTGGGCTAAAGCCGGCCCAGGGGTGGCAGCAGCTTTGGTGGCCGGTGTGGCACTGCTTTGGGTGGTGCTCTCTTCCATGGCTGGTGTGGCTCTCCCATCAGTAGCTGGAGTAACACTTCTGTCAGTGGCTGGGGTGACACTCCCATCAGTGGCTGGAGTGATGCTCCCATCAGTGGCTGGGGTGACGCTCCCATCAGTGGCTGGGGTGGTACTGCCATCTGTGGCTGGGGTGGCACTACGGTCTGCGGGGGCTATATTATCACTCTTTGCAGCATCACCCACTGTGGCTGGGGTGGCACTGCCCCCAAGAGCTGGGGCAGCTCCACTTGCAGCAGTGGCCCCACCTGTAGCCCCAGGAGTGGCAGTGTCTGTGGCTGGGGCAGACTGGGCTGCAGCCGTGCTGGACTGCTCCGGTGCCCTGAGCCGTTTCATGAGGGTGGTCACTCGGACAGCCTTCTGAAAGGACAGTGGATAGAGGCTCAGAGTGAAGCTTATGGAAGCTGGATCCATTCCTTCCCCAAAGGCCAAACCCAGACCATTCCATAGTGCCCTGGCTGCCTCTGACCACCCCAAGGCCAGGAACCCAGCTGCTCAGCACACCTGCTTCAGGTAGTAACAGTGGCTCCAGCTACACCTGATGGTTGAAGAAAAGCCTGTGTGTGGCTACAGGGATGTGATGCAGGCAAGAAAACTATGGCGCCAGAAGGAGCTCTTGAGATCAAGCCAGAAAAGGGAGGCATCCAAGCCTTACCTTCCACTTAGCCCTGGCAAAGTTCTTTTCAATCTGGGCACAGACACCGTCCTTGATGTTTTTATCAGAAGCAGCATTGCCAGAAATCCTGGAAAGAGTGCAAGTGCGTCTGGATCTGAAGGAGTATGGCCTTCGTGGAGACTGTACCCAGCCCTTCCCTTGTAAGATCAAGGGATTACCAGGCAGACCCTCTGGGCTGGCCTGAGCTCTGGGTGCCCTTCCAACCCCAACTCGAGGCCTCAAGTATGGAGGCTGCTAAGTGTGAGGAGGACAGAGGCCAAAGGAACCCTGGCCTCTCCTCCCATCCTTCCCGGGCCCTGCTCACCACTCATGGGAGATGGCTTCTTCTGCAGTGATCCGCTGGTCTTGCTCCACCTCCATCAGCCTTGTGACCAGGTCTTTGGCTGGGGACAAAACCAGAGAGAGCTAGACATGGGCACCCCATCTCACTGTCTAGAGGGGATGATTGGGCTGGGGGTTAGGATCAGAGTCCATCTGAGAAGGCTGAGAGCAGGTCTCCTCACCAGCCTGAGAAATGTCATCCCAGTATGGAGAGTCAAACTCATAGTCGCCAGCCAGGATCTTGCGGAAGAGATTCTTATCATGGTTCTCATAGTCATCTTCCTCCACCTCCTCGTAGAAAGGTGGGTTCCCTGAAAGCCTTCATGGAGGGCCAAGGGCAGGGTCACTGGAAGGCCATGGACCCAGACCCCCCCACCCCATCTGGCTGCAAGCTTGTTTGCCGGCTCATCCACTTACAGGATGTACATGATGACTCCAATGGCCCAGCAGTCCACAGGGCGTCCATATCGCTGCCGGCCTACCACCTCCGGGGCTGCAAACAGTGTCCACCTGCTGGTCAATATCAGGCCTGGCCAGGCCTTGTACTACTCACATCCATTTCCTGGGATGGGGACTTCCTTCCCCCCTGCCCAGAGCCACTCCTTAAAGGCTGTCTCCCACCCTGCCCTGCCCCACCCCCTGCTTGCCCAGGTACTCGGGGGTCCCACAGGGCTCCTTGATCAGGCCATTCTCTAGCTTAGCCAGGTGAAAGTCGCTGATGACGATCTTTGAGTTCTTCAGCCGATTGTAGTAAACCAGGTTCTCCAGCTGCTCAGGCCAGGAATGGCATATGGGTGGGCAGAGGAAGACACCATGGAAATCTCAGAGGCTGGACCAAGGCCCCAAGGTACAGCCCACCCCAGCCCCAGGCCGGCTGCCTCCTGACCCTTTGACCTGGCTACTGTCCTCACCTTGAGGTTCCTGTGCACGATCTTGAGCGAGTGCAGGTAGGCCACTGCCTCCAGGACCTGCCGCACCACGTTGCTTGTGTCTCGCTCCGAGTAGTAGCCCTGGTCCAGGATCCAGTCAAACACCTCCCTCCCCGTGGCCCTGAGGGACACCAGCCCCTGAGCCCGGCGTGGGCAGAATCGGGGGTGGGGCAGGAGCATGTGGGTAGGCTGCCTACACCAGGCAGCTGGCTGGGCAAGGCACAGAGACCTGAGACCCCAAGGATCCAGAAGGATGGGCTTTCCCTGGCTGCAGAAGGCAGAGCAGGTAAAGACCCTGGGGACTGAGTAATCCCGGAAACCCAGACCCACACTCACAGCTCCAAGAAGATAAAGTACTCCTTGCGGGTCACAAACACATCCACCAGTTGCAAGATGTTGGGATGCTTCACCCTAGCAGCAGAGAGGAGAGCCAATAGTTAGGGCTGGGTAAACTCCTAAGAGAGGCTCTGGTTGCTACTGTGGACCACAGCAGACTAACTAGCCAGAGGCTGGAACTGCTTGAAGCCACCAGCCCTTGAAGCCCTTACCTGCTGCCTCCCCTACCCTACCTCACCCCACCCCCAGGCCTCACACTCACATCTTGAGGATGCCTATCTCGTTCTTGGCTGCCTTCCGCACCTTGCGGCCGTCCCGCTTCTGGAATTTCTTGCAGGTGTGTAGCTTGCCTGTCGTCTTGTCCTTGGCCCGGAAGATCTCACAGAACTCCTCACTGCAGCCAGCAGGCACTCCACTCAGCATGGGCTATATTCTGTGCCGCTTTCCGCAGCCCTTGCCTGCCCACCCTTGCCCAACAGACCCAGCACTCACGTCTTGATGACCTGTCCCAAGTCATATCTGTCGGTCACCTCCGACGGCTGGTTATAGTTCTTCTTGTCGCCGAGAGTCACACACCCAAACGGCATTGCCAGGCTCTGAGCTGGGGGCAGGTTGGGGTCTGGCTCAGCTGTACTACTCCCCACTTCTCTTCGCACACAGAGGTTGCCTTTGGGAGACCCCAACCTGATTCAGACCAGGCCAGGGGCAGAGTCTACACCAGGAAGGGCTGGAGGGTGGTCAGGCTCGGATCCTAGCCCTGCTTTTCTGGCCACACCTCCAGCCACTCAGTTTGGCTGCTCAACTGTGACAGCCCCCGCTTATGAAAAATGTATTAAACTGACATATCAGGGAATCATTTTGCATTATATGTAATCAAAAGAAGATTTATCAAATGATCTGTTTAAATTTCAGTTGTTTCCCAGATGAAAGGGACTCTAACTACTGACCCATCAGAGAGTCATCTCTGAAAGTCTGATGATGCCAAATGTTGGCAAAGATGTGGAGAACATGAGCACTGCTGGTGGAGGACAAGTCTCCCCTCTGCAAAACAA